AGATAAAAAGGTACCACTTCGGTGGGCAGGTAACAGCATTCCGTGCACTTTGGTGTTTAGTCATGCCGGCCCCATGACCACGGAGACTGTCTGCGGCAAACGCTGGCTCCCTCGGCTAGGAAACGGAGATGAGCACTGCCCCCGAGAGTCAGGCATGACTGGACTTCACGTCAAGGGGAAACCTTTACCTTAATACAGTTTCAGAGTACTAGAGTGCAAATTGTTCTCTTGATCAGATGCCTGATAACTGGCAAACATTCATTTATGTACCAGCATATGTAGTAGCAATCTATGTGGCTGGTTGTGGTCAGAAAACTCTGTGAGATCCGAAAAAAGATATTAATTCACTGAAGCAGTTGCATGCAAGTTACTACAAGGAATTATTTGGCCTGATCCATGTGGGCAATGAGGATTCTCAAACAGCAGTTTTTAAAGGATGTATTCAGACTTCCAGGTGAGGCTTTTATCATGCGGACATGGAATTACATGAGGGTCCAGATGATGTCGCATTACATTTATAATTCTCCTAAGGTTTCTCACTGTTTCTTCCATCTTTTTTTGACTACAAAAAAATCTCCTGAGGAGTGGAAAATGAAAATGTTGTATTGTAGAGATGTTTGGGAAATGCATGACCTCGGCCTAGGACTTAGCTTGCTGGACTCCTGGGATTGTCTGATAGGGACACAGCCTCTTCCACCCCAAGGCATGATTTGTTTGAAAGAACTCTTGGGGCTTCAGTGTATGGAAGCTTAAGGACACAATCCTATGAGCTTTTCCCCTGATGCTCATATGCCCCTGATTTCAAAGACCCATGCAGATCCAGTGCAGAGCTAGAGGGGCAATGGAGGTGATCTCTGCTTCCGCACACCGTTTGCTCTGCATTTTCGTTAGAGGGCCACTTTCAGTGCTGTGCAGCTAGGAGGGAAGCACCACGAAGACACCTCATATCCAGGCATCCTCAGCCTCCTCCCTTCCCCTCAATGCTCCCTCCTTCCCCTCTCCAAAGTTAATTTTCCAGCCATAGAGAGGCAGCCAATTCCCACACCTTGGCCAGGGAATTTGCCAGTGCCTTCCCAGTTGGCAAGGCTGGATCCCTGTTTCTTGAAGCAACAAATGAAATTTATCAGTGCTCCCCCACCAAATGATGCTTAAGGGCCTTAGGATCACTCCTGACTGCTCACTCCCAGTAATGGAACTTCAGGGAAGACATTTCAGAGTGGAAAGAGAAAAACTGCACATTAGCTGAGAAAGGATCAACTGAATAGCCCCTGAACAGCTCTTTTAAAGCCATTCAAACTGGTAGCCATTGCTACACCTTGTGGTAGCAAATTCCATAGTTTAACAACACCCCATATGAGCAAATACTTTGGTTTGTCTGTCTTTAATCTACCACCAATTTTAAGGGGTGTCTCCTTTGCGTTTGACAAGGAAAAAAACAGATCGATGAGGGGGAAAAGTCTGCTGGGGTGCACAATCCAAAGAACATGAACAGTTTATTCTGGCATACAGGAACTACATGCGGTGTGTAGGCAGCCCCCACCCCCGAAGGGACTACCAAGACTGGGGTTGTACCAGAAGCTTTTATAACCTCTCAGTTACAGACTCAGTTTGAGGGAGGATGGGGAAACAAGTGGGCAGTTTGCAAGAGGCACAATAGGGTAAAACAATAGGTTTGGATGTGATTAAGACACACAAAACAAAAAGAAGAACCTCCAGGACAGGCAAACAATTACCATCTCTAAAAGTGTAGCTTTGTTGGCATCTCCAATGCACATAAGTAAGAAGCAAGACTTGGAAGGTGGGTGCTTGATCAGAGCAGGAATCCCACCGTAAGTCTAAAGCTGTTCTTACAGGGTCAGGCTTTTAGTAGCCGTATTTTCACTCATTTTGTCCTGACAGGTTCTTATATAATGGGACGGAGAGAACTGTTTCTGTATGTAGTTCTCCACATTATACATAATATTGTATACCTTTATCTGCCCCTTCACATCTTCTTTTCTAAACTAAACAGGCCCAAACATGGCACCCTTTATTCAGAGGGAGGTCGCTTCAGCCCCTTGATCATTTTGGTTTTCCTTTCTGCACTTTTTTGCAGCTCTGCCATATCCTTTTCTAAGCACCATGTGCAGAACTGTGCACAATATTCTAGATGTGGTCAGATCATAGAATTAAAAAGGGCAGGATAAAGTTGGCAGTTGAATTTTTGCTTCTTTCTTAATTTGTTCAAAGGGCTAAACCTGGGGCATTGATATAGGAGGGACATGCATACCACACTTCACCTGTGGTTGCACAGTTGCTAACAAAAATTGCCTGTGTACAACTACCATTCTTGTAGTACTCCAAATTGCTACAGACACTCCCCTACCAAAAGTCTTTTTAACGAAGTGAGCAGTGATCACAGAAGCACCAAGGTCTTAAAGCTCAGTTTTTTGCAAGACCATGAAAAGCAATTTGTAAACCTGGAATTCCCAGAGTGGGGTTACAAAGGTGTCTTTTGCAAATGCTGCCACCCCGTGGGAAAAGAAAACACTTCCAGGCACTATGATCAAGTTGTATGAGCCACAAGTCTGATTCTGTGTGAAGGTAATGCCAGACTAAATGGACCTTGCCCTGTTCCAGCATGGCTTTTTGTAGAGACACACCAAAGAGTGTTTTCACAAATGATGTCAAGGCTGCAGACCTATGCAAACTTATCCATGAACAGATCTCATAGTACTTAATGGGATAATGTCTCAATAATGCAGAGGCTGCAGCTGTGCCTAAAGTACAGAAATGCTAAGATTCATGGCTTCTGAGTAATTGTTCAGAGACAGGGCAGAAGAACATCACAGCTGGGCGAATAAGTAAGTGAGAGATGGATCACCTTAACAATTCCAAAAATTTTGAATCAAAAATAGAAGTCTTTCAAAATCAAATGCAGTTTTCAGCCAGTAAAAACCAACAGAGATCTGTAGCACTTTAATGTTTAACACATTTAGCACGGCACAAGTTTTTCTGGACTAGAAGCAACTTCATCTGAGGGACTAGTTCCCCAAAGCTGATACCATAAAAGAGATGGGTTAGCTTTTCAGGTGTGACGATACTTTTGTTACTTTTGAGGCATCACGTTTGGGCTGTTGCAGTCACCCCTTAGTTGTACGAATAAAAAAAGGAGAATACCTCTGGGTGTATGAAGGGTGCCAGGCTGCTTTAATACTGGTTAAGAACCAGCTCTAGTTGGGTGGGGGTGCTGTAATGATCAGCCATTGCTCTCCCTCCACCACCCGGAAGCGGATCTGTGTGGATAGGACAAAGGGCTTATCTTTAGCCCTGTTTGAGTTAACTTGGAAGGCTCAGTAGCAGTGAACCTCAGACCCGGGGGCCAGATTTGGCCCTCCACTGTTTCCCAAACGGCTCTGCTCCTTTCTCCAAACTCCCAATCATAACTTGCTTTTAACCTTCCTCTTTTCTGAGGCTTGTTTTCTTTACCTGACTATCTACATGCTCTGTTACAGGACCACTAGATGGCCCTGTGGTATAACAGGACTTTGCAGACAGAGCACAGGTTCATGCTGCCATTCACAAACAATACCAGACTTTGCTTATTCTCAAAGGAAACAGGAAAACATGTTTGCAAAGAGCAGGAGGGACTGCGGAGGAGGACAGTTCCTTGTAAACTACCACGAGTGAAGAATCATGTGCACCCAATAAATGTTCCACACAAAAAAGCTCTTAGTTGCTGGTAATAAAAGTTGGTATTTTTTGTATTTTGGCTCCACTTATCTTGCCTTTGGCCCTACCCAGGGGCATGTGGCTTGTCATAGTGAATTTGGTCCTTGGACTGAGAAAAGTGCAACATGCTGTACATTGCTGTTTCCAGGAAAAAGGAACTGGAGATGCTACTGAGGCCAGGACAGCAATGGAGGAGGGGAAGGGATTTGTATAGTGAATTTAAATCAAAAGTAATAGGTATGCTTTAAAAAAAACCTTTAAGGTCGTGTGTTTTGCCATGGAGCTCTTCTTTTTAAACCTAAATTTTTCTCCCCTTTCTGAACTGACCAGCTATGCTACAAAATTGCTTTATTATTCTATAATCAAGTGAAGTTTTAGCTTTTCCTGTGCCTAGCACCCTTTATACAAAATCAATAAAACAAAGCAGTTCCTGCCAGCAGGCTTACAATCTTAAAACATACGACAGATAAGTAAACAGGGAACGAAGTGGATGAAAAAGATGAGTGTGAGCCTATGCATGGATAGCCAGAAAAAAAAGAGGGGCAGTTGCTTTCTTCCCTGACAATTTCCATTTTGCTAGTTTATCGTAGCAAGTATAAAAGAGTGACTTAAGTGCAAACCTATGCATGTTTGCAATCTTAGATAAGAATGCAAAAGAATTACAACAAAACAACGACCTGCCCTGGGGAATTGAATGTTTGCCAGCAGCTAACCTTCCTTACATCTGCATTCGTGAGCAACACAAAAGTTCAAACCTGGGCGTGTCTACTCAGAAGTAAGTCCTGCTAGTCTAGTGTTCTTTAACGACTGCCGCCGCCCCTCCCCCACACGCACCATTTTTAAAGCAAGTTTTTGCCAACGCAGCGTTCATAAATAAGGTAGACGGTTGTGATTAATAATTATGATAACTGCAACTTATCCACCCACTTCTCCCCTGGCCTAAGAAGGAAGAGCTCATTTTCCCTTTCTCTGCAAACTACAACTCCCAGTATCCCCTCTGGCCCTGATGAGCCCGCCCCCCCTTAACGTTACTCTAAGTGCGCAGATTGGCTTGAGCCACCCGTCTCTGGACAGGCTCCCTTTGGGCAGACAGTCCGTCACTCTCCGGCACAGCCAATTGGACGTCCAACGTCAAGGGAGGCCACACGCTATTCCCAAAGCGCGTTTGCGCCGCTCGCGTGGCGTAAAGGCCGGCGCGGGGAGAGGGAGTTGGTGGCGCAGTTAGCGTCGCGCAGGCGCGCTGGCGGGGGAAACGGTGGGGAAAGGGGAGGGGGCGAAACGGTAGAGGAGGAGGCGGAGGTGATGTTGGTGGCGGAGGGGGCTTGCCGAGCCCGAGACAGCTGGAGGGGATAAACAGCGGAGGGGGCCGAGGAGGGCTCGGGTCCCCGCCGGGCCGGGGCTGCGGAACCTGGTCAGCGGCTCGGGCTGCTGTCCAGCCACTCACCTCCTGGAGGCGCCCCTGCCCTGGCACAGGGGTCGGGCCGCCCCCCTGCATGGAAGTTCAAGGGCTTCGTCCACTGGCTGCTGCGGCTGCTGAGCCTGCCCTGAGGAGGCCTGACAGGTAACTCCCCCCACCAAATCGCCCCCACACCCACCTTTGTGTAGGAACTTGCCTCCCCCTTCTCCTTTCCAGAGGGGTAGTGGCTTCCTCCACTGATAGTGTGTGCCCCCCCACTCTCCCTTGTTTGCCTACTCGCTCACGTAACCCCATAACCCTCTTCCCCCAAAGCCCACCTTCATGAAGGAACTGGCCTCCCCCTTCCAGAAGAGTAGCTGCTTTCTCCAATGACACCTGATATCGTGTGCGCCCCCCCCCCCACGCGCGCGCACTCTCTTACTTTCTTGCTCACATAACCTATTGCTCTTTAACTTACTGCCCCATAACTTGATTTTCCTTCCCCAGATCCCACTCTTCAAGAGGGAACTGACCTGCCCCTTCTTTCCGGAGAGATAGATGCTTCCTGCAATTGGTACCATGTGGCCCACCAGCCTCTTACTTTCTCGTTCACGTAGCGAATTGGCCTGTAACCTATTGCTCCATTACCTGCTTCCCTCCAAATCTCTCCCTTCATGAAGGAACTTGCCTCCTCTTCTTCCTCTAATGACATCTGACACCATGTATCCCTCCCAGTCTATCATAATTTCTTGCTCCTATAACCTATTGACCCATAACCAGCTTCCCCCATCCTACCTCTTTTTTCTTCCTTGAGGTGTCTTTTCTCAAAATCCCAAAGGAGTAGCCACATTAGTCTGTCTCAGCAACCTTCACCCTCCCCACAACCCTAAAACAAAGAGCCTTGTGACACTTGAAAGAGCTTGGATTTAGGAAAATGTTTAGGAATCTTGGATGCTGCCTTAGATTGAAGCAGGCCATCTGTCTGTCTATCTCAGTATTGATTCCTTCACATACAGGTAACCCCTCTCCAGAATTTGGGACTGGAATATCTCTTTCTAGGACCTACCTGGAAGTGCTGCAGATTAAATCTGGACTCTTCAGTGTGCAAAGTATGATTTCTGCCAGTGGGCTACAATTTCCCCCCACAAAATGTTCAGAAAAGCACTGAGCCTTTTTGCACTGTGTTAAGCCTTGGGGCCATCTAGATTTATTGGGGTGCAGCAGTAGCTCTCCAGGATTTCTGACTGGAGCTTTTTTCTTGCTCCCCAACCTACCTGGAGATGCTGGGGCTTGAACCTGGAACTTATTGCATGCAGAACCCATGTTCTGCTGCAGAGCGGTGCCCCTTTTCATGCACTAGAGCAGCTGTTCCCAGACTTTTTCAGGCATGGAACCTTTCTGAGGACTCCCGTGGAACCCTAACTCTGTCCCTGATTTTTACTAAGTAGTTTGGACCCACAATGTTCTTCCTTCTTTCATCTGCTCTTACTGCTGGAGTGCTTTGCATAACGAGGCTTGGGAATCAAGAGAAAACATTTTGAATATAACGAATGAATAAAGCAATCATATGGTAACATTCCAAAATTAGTTCTTTCAGTTATTCCCAGCACTACGAAATAGAGTCCTAGGAACCAAATGATGTGATGCATTTCCTTGTTTGCTGCTTGGACACCAACTGACAATCGAATAGTTGGCGTCATGTGATTTCATTTTAAAACCCATTTTACATTTGATTTTTGAGATTTTTTGTGGAACCCCTATGAGGCTTTTGCAGAACCCTAGGGTTCCATGTAACACAGTTTGGGAACCGCTGCACTAAAGTGTACTTTGTTAGCAAGCAATCCATGAAAGCTTCTGACACAGTAAATCTGAGGTGCTACAAAACTGTTCTCCCCTTTTCAATGGGTAGCAGTTTATAGGCAAACAGCTGAGAACGCTTAATATAAAACAGTAATTTCCCCTTTCTTTCCCTCTTTTATTGACCATAGAATTGTTACTCACATTCCCTTCTTTTCTGAACACATTTGGTTCAGCATTGCGCTAGTCACCAGAGTGATGAACGCAAAGGCAAGTTTTTGTCTGTTCAGCATTTATGCTTATGAGTGGACAGGAGTAGCTTGGAAAAATAGCCGTCTTTAGAAAAAGCAGTTTCCTGTATATGTGTGTGCAAGATGCCCCCTCCTTCTGGTGCTAGCCTTACCTGCCCTTTTGGCTCATGTGCTCTGCCATGCCACCTTGATTGCTTGCCGTGTTGCCCATTGCCTCTGTCAAAAAATGGTCCTATCTGCATTTTTATAAATTGTCTCTCATCTTTCTGCAGTGGTTTTAACATACTTCATAGTTAGTGTCCAGACAGAAGTGGCTGGGTTTTGCTGTTCTGCTCATCCAGATGGGGAAGTGTAGTAAAAGTTAGTGTTTGACTGAGAACTACCTAGCATTTTTGTGGTTGTAAATGGTCTTACACTAACAACTGGCTTTCAATTTTCTAAAAAGTTGCCCTTGCTGCCTCTACCTTATGGGTCTGCTTTCTCTTCCTAGAGTGTTCTTTAGGAATATGCCCATTTTGGTTGTCATTAGGTATCCACAGTGAACTTATACCACCTGTACAATCTGGGCTTATTATATCTGTGCCATGCTTTCTGTCCCACCTAAAGGCACATGTACAAAGTGAAGCATCATACCCTATTTTATTTTGGGGTGGAGGAGGTTAACAAACAACAATGAAGACTATAGGTACAACCCATTGCTACTAGTACAATTCTGTTTTTTTGCAATACACACACACGCATGAAATTCTGTCTCATACATGTGTCCTTGCATCCTGAAAACCATCAGAACAGGTAGAATAAGCTCAAACGTTAATGTGCGAAACTAATCTGAGTTGCATGTGTGTGTTTCATATCTCTAGCGCATGTAAGGTTTTCTTGTCAGTCTGTGCTGACAACTTGGGAAACTCCATTTGGCTTAATGCTGGTTGACTGACTCTATGGGAATGTGCTCGAGTACTCATGAGTAAGTGGCATGATTGTTTTTTCCCATGACTGATTGTAGACAGAAAAACGGCAGTAGGCATTGGCCTGCCCTGAGTGCAAATGTTTAGGATACCCATGACGAGCTGTGTGAGAAAATCAATATATCTTAATGGGCAGTTACTGATCATGGTTGGCCAGACACTTTGGCTGCCAGATTTCTACTATCCAGCAGACTGGGAAGGATGAAATGGTGGCGAAATGGGACCATAGACACATTGGCTTCATCCTCTCCCACTGACTTCGGATTTTCAGCTTGATTCTTTGCATGTTATTTGGAACTAAGTTTCTTCCTGTTACGTGAGACTTGCTCCGAAGAAGGACTGAAGCCTTGTACTGGTTCTTTGTATTGCCATCTTGTTATCCTAATGTGTGCATTTGGCTTGCCAAGCTCCATCTCTGCTGGGTAACAAATCTCCGTGGACTGAGAGAGAAGCCTACAAAAACAGCTGTGCCAATTGACTCTAGATGATGATGCAGATTGAGTCGGGGGTGTAGAAGAGAGAATGAGAGAATGGATCTGTGGTGCAGGTCTGCGCATATGGAGGCATAAAATAATGCTGCAGTTCCCAACATTCTCCAGTTGGAAGTTGCATAGGATTGCATCCTAAATCCGAAAACTTTGCCAAAAGGTTGTCGTTAATTGGACTTTTCCCTATAATTCTTTTGAGAAACTGCTGTGGATGCCACATTAGGATTCCACATCCTATTAACTGTCCTGCTCTTTTGTTGCATATAATGGCTGCTCAGATTGCGGAGATGTGAGAGGGAGGCTGGCCCCTGACTTTTTGTGACTGTTGCCTTAGTATTGCTTAGAAAACTGCAGGGTGGCCACGATTTGGTGACCGTTAGATAAGAATTCAAGGTGGTGGGGTTCTGGATTTCATAAAGGAACCTCTTAACACTCCCCTGCACAATAATTTGAGCACTGTGTCTTTGCCAATTATGTTTATTTTCTTAACCCCTTCTTCTTGTCCAACTTCTACTGTGTGGCCTATCTATTGGCTTGGCAAATTTGTCTCTTGTAGCAAAGTTGAGTCCCCAGGCACAAGATTGGGAAGCTATAAATGTATTTTTTATTCTTTGCTTTAGAAATTGCTTAATTTTTTTCAGGAAGTAAGCAGTATATAGATTGATTAAATCAATAAATATCTAAGCTATGAAATTCTGCCCCAGTATATAAGGCCCTCCATGTAGGTCTCTGTGGATGGGCACAGCTTGCTGGCTGAAGTTCATCTTGAAGGGAAGGTTAAGTCTTCAACTGTACAAGAGAAAAAGCCTGAATCTTTTCACCTTTCTGTCATTAAATCACAGCCACCCTCTGCTTTACCCCTGGGTTTTCCTGTGCAGTCAGTTAACCTGAGAGAGCCTTGCATTGCTCAGTTAGTGTGTTTACTTGCATAATGGATGGTTAAGTCAAGACCGAAGCAAGATCAACAACAGAAAATTGAGGGGAAAAGATTTTCTCAGGCTTTTCCCTTGCTTCCTTGGCTGGTTTCATTGACTGTTTTTGCCTACATTCCATGCTATAGTTTCATCTCACAGTAACTGATCCAAGTAGGTGGAGTTGGGTCAGGAACACAATTCACAGTAAGTACACAGTGAGCTAGAAGAGACAAGAAATTACTGTTTAAACCGGGCTGCATATAATTGGGAGTGGAAGTACCAAGATTCTGTGACAAAAAGTATGATCTTTTAGTACTCAAAGAAAGTATAAATGCCTTTATTTTACATGGCCTTTTTAAAAAGTGTGCTTACTGAGGGGAAAAGAGCTGTGCGGGGTTCTGAAGTCCTGTACCCTAGGAAAGCACAAATCCTTCTTGGTGCTGCTTCTTGTGGAACTAGCTTGTAGACTTTGCTACTGCAAGGTATTTTGGTCTTTAGGCTCAGATGAAGTGTAGATAAAGTGGAATTTAGATTCATGGAGGGCAGAGATACCAGTGATTGCTAGTTATGGCTGTAGGCAGCCTTCAGGTGCTGAAGGAGTGGCAGTGAGCGACCACAAGGAAGGGGTGTGGGGCCCCTGCCCTGCTTATGTCCTTCCCAGCATCACCAAGTTGGATGGTTTGGGAAAGAGGGGCTGGAGCAGATGGACTGTTGGCCTGATCCAGTATGGCTTGGACATGTGTGAGATTTTTCTGGGTAATATCCACATTCTTAAATGTATCTTGACCAGTGTGAGGGCTTGGAACATGCACTTTAAAAGTAAGGTTCTGTATCCAATGCAGAATCGTGTGTTTCGTGTATCTGCGCATCATCGTGGGATGCCTGTAGACCAGATGATAGCCTATGGGGGATATTCTGGCTGTGTCGAAAAGGGGAGAAAGAAATGCAAGGTTAGGCCATAGCGCTGCCAACGTTGTTTCTCTGTCTGCTGACATGGCCTCTCTCTTGCTCCCTGCCCCTGCCAACCCCCTTTCTGTGCTTCTGTCCTCCCACTTAAAATCTCATGCTGTTTTTCTTCCAAGATACTGCAGAGGAGTTTGGGAGGCAGTAAGTTCCTTTTGAAAGGAAAGTAGATAAACGGGTGGGATTAGTAAGTGTGCTGCTACTGAGTGCTGTCTTTGATGGGTACCATTGTGTTGCAGGCCAAAGAAAGTTGGGTACCAAGCAGTACTCTCAAATACCGACTTGTTTCAAAGGCACTCTTGTATTCTCCATTTTACCTAGTATGTTTAGCAAAAAAATGAATGTGTCCTAAGTTTTCTTATAAAAGATTGCTAAATTTTCTTGAAAGGAATGGGCACATTGGAGGTGTCAATACAAAGCTGAACAGATGCCTAGAAGTCCTGAAAAATGTTAAGCTGTCACACTCGTCTTTTTTAACTGATAGAGCAATAGGCAGACTGGATTTCTCTGGTTACACATGCAGAAATCCTGAGCAAGGCTATTTCCCTGGAGGTCATTTTCCATAAACTTTGCAGACACTGGTGGCATCTTCAGAAGTCTGGGGCTGTATTTAGTACCTAGGATGGCTACCCAGTGTGAGGTAGGGGCTAGAGAGCTGGAGTGGGGGTGGTCACTGCCCCTCAGCCTGGCTTGTCCCACTGAGACATTGTGAGCCTAAAAGCAAATATTTTGTCCTTAAGGTCTTTGGTGAAAGGATAAAATACAGTAGTACTAACCAGTCTCCTATATCTATCCTTTAATATTAATAGTTCTTTGCCCACTCTGTCGTTCTGCTTGTGTGTTTTATATTTATTTTGTTTCTCTTAGTTGGTAGTCTCCCTGTAATCAAGAGTTCTGTGGGCTGTACAAAACAGTAAGGCATCAGTGTGACATGTGCTCTCTAAGCGCAGTAGAGGGGGGAGCACAGAACCGTAGTGGTACATTTAAATTAGATCTGTCCAGAACGGCTGCTGATCTTTTGACGTGCCCATGGGAGATGTACAGTGGCTAAAGTATGCCTTTCGTGTTGCATGAACAAACCTCACGGGCATGAACTCCTGAAAAATCTTACAGGAACAGAAATGTAATCTTCTGATGCATTAACATGGCATTGGAGGAAGTTCTGGTGGCCAGTAAGGAGAGGACCACCAGCTTGTCTCTCCTCATGTGCCTTGGTCCTTCCTGCCAATAGTCCGTGCTCCCATCTTCTCCTTCGGTCTCTTTTGCAGCCAGAGTAACTAAGAGAGAATAGGTGCCCGTTTTTCAAATGGTTACTCTCTGTGATGTCGAATGCCGTCTCTTCCTAATAAATCCAGTTGCATTTGAACTGACTAGCATTAATATATAGCATATTTGTACTCAGCTATTTTTTCTAATAGAGTTGGGAGGAGGCTATTTTTTAAGCCCACAAAAATAGAAATACACGACAGACTTGAGTTAGGCTTTTCGTATACTGAGGTGGAGAGAACTTCTCTATTCAGGTTGGACTGGCCTTGTTTTCTCCCTCAGTCTCACCCCCAGGCATATGTTTGTCTGAATCTGAAAAAGCAGCCCTGTGCCAGGCTGGGATTGAGAGGATGATTGTCCAAGGGCTGAGATGTACTGTTGCATTGTTACTCTTTCTTGTGGTAGCTAAGGACTTGAAAGTCAGACAGTGCCCAGTGATCTGACACATTTTCACGTTTTGCTTTTTGTGTCAGAATTACAGAAGTCTTGTCCATTTACGAGAACCACAAAACCTGTGCTTTAAGTGGTAAAGTAAAATCTACCGCATCTGTTGGAGGAATTTGCCAAGGGAGGTAGAAATTGCAACTTAAGAAAGCGCAGAGTATTAACTGGATGGTTGGCTGAAGCAAATGGAATATCAATGGTGGGAGAAAGCCTAAGTCTTTTCTTTGCCAGGTTACAAGAGAAGACTATTTGCCCAGCTTGGCCGAGTAGGATGAGTTGAATTTATAAAATCAAACTGGGTTTTGAAAGCTATAGCAATGCATTGGCTTGTTCTGAAAATTAAAGCTCGAACTTTAGTGAGGCAAGTGCTTAAAGGAGGAATGTATTTATAGTTATATGTAAGAGTTTGCAAGTCAGATTCTTGGGGAAAATTTTCAGCCATTTCAGGTACTTAGGGAAGGGATAACTTTCCTTTGTTGCCTGGAAATACAGCTCAATTTTCTGTACAAATAATGACTAAACTCCCCCCCACCACCACCACCTTATTTGCCTGCAGGTAATTTCAATGCCTTCTCGACGAACATGAACTCTACTGGAATGCTTGGATTCACAGCAGCACCTCCATTTGCGTTCTTTCGTTGGCCCTATTGTGAGAAGATGGCAAAAGCAAACATTACCAGAGACCTCATCCATAGGCAGCTCAAGGTGCGTCTTGAATCAAAAGTCCATGAGTTGTATTTTGCTGGGGCAAAGTTAAAGTGTTGTTTTGCTTGCTTCCATAAAATGCAGCCTGTGGAAGGGGCTAAAAGGCAAAAATGGCCCCCCACTTCCTGATTTTTTATGTTTTAGTTATTATATTTATATCCCAACTTTTTTCTTTCCAAGGAGCTCAAGGTGGTGCACATCTCTCCCCCCACCCTTTATCCTCACAACAGCCTGTGAGGTAGGTTGGGCTGAGAGTCTGTGACCAGCCCAGTGTCACCATCTAGCTCCATGGCCAAGTAGGGGATCTAACAGCTATAGTCTTGCTCATTATTTAAATTTTACACATGCTGTACTGGGTAAGACCCGATATCTTAACTGAACTACAGTTGTGCTGAGATTTTGCACTGATTTGTAACGAATGGCTCCATTCCTCGCTTCCTACTAAGCCCCCATCAGTTTATGATAATAAGGACAGCCTAAAAAAGGTACATTGGCCCCAGGGCTCTTTTTTTTTTTTTTTTGCACATCTGCAACGCCTCACTTGCAGCTCCCTGGCAGTGTAGTTTCAGAATTTAGAATCTAGATATTGTCACTGCAAATGGTTTCTCGCTACACTCCTACCCCCTCAGTAAATTACTCTGCCAGTTTCCACTACAGTTGCTAAGACCCAAACAGTTATTTTTTTCCACAGAAATGCCTGGCTTTCTTCTCCCGTTTAAGAGATGAGATCTTATTAATGTGAATGTGTGGCAAATATTAAAACACACACATACAAAACCCCCTTCTGTTTTCGTTGGGGTCTCTGATGTGATGTGAGATTACTTCCACAGGTTTCTTGCATGTTTGCATTCTTACACATGTGGTGAGGGAGCATGAAAAATATGTGTAATGCAGTGTGATTCTTTTTCCTTTGGCCTTTCCATATTGTGTTTTTCTGGCTGTTCCCAGATGAGGGTTTTATCATGCAATCACTCTGCCTCATCCATGGAATCTAATAGGTGGTCCAGATGGCACTATCTTCCATTTGTAACCGTCTGGTATTTCCCCACCACTTCTTACAACCTTTTGCTTAGCACCCACAAGAAAATGATTTAATGGAGGAAATATGGAATGGCAGCAGCGTGCCCTTTGGTAGGTGACACTTGAGCCCTTGGTGATTCTTAAAACGATGGTTGTATTCCTGGTCAGTGAAGAATCATCTCCGAGCGCTTGCACGAACTGAGTGGGAGAATGAGACGTGCATTGTCTCATGGTGCTGGAATGCCGTAGAGTCGGATTTAGAACTCCCATATTGACTGGGAGAGGTCCACTTCCATAATGTAACAATCATGATACCTATTGGCTCTTTGCAGGAGAAGGGCGCCCTCAGCTTTGAACGACACTATCATGTTACTGACCCATTCATCCAGCGCCTGGGCTTGGAGGCAGAGCTGCAGGTAATGGGGCAGTGCAGGAGGAGTTAAAACACATGGTTATATGATGATAGCAGCTGCAGAACACCTGAATGCTAATGCAAATCTTTTTTTTTTTAATCTATGTGTTTGGTGTGTCTCTTTGCATTTTTCCCCCTTTTGGCATGACTTCTCAAAGAATGTGTTACATTGACAAAGTGCCACATGGGTTTGCGATAACCTGAAATCCCATTCTTTTTAACCAGTTTAAGTCAGCCCCTTTAAAGTACTTGTTTTAAATGTTTGGTGCCGGTGATGTCAAAACACTAGGCAACTGCCAGGGATGCAAGAGGAAGGTGCTTTTTTCCTCCTCAGATATGTGCTTCTGCTTGGAAATAAATGATGGTCCTTGGTGGCAGCTTTGGTCTAGTTCTCCTTAAACAATAAAATCCAGGCACATGTTTGCCACTTCTGGCTGCAGACAGTGGAGGTGGGGCTTGCATTATTAAATACCCAGCAAGTCATCAGGTTGGGTAGATCTCAGCCAGAACCCTTCTCCCTGACATGTTAGATTTAGCATGGGGGGATGTCAGTCTGTCCCCACCTTTATCTAGAAGTGGTGCAGCTCAGGCTTGCCACCACGGACGGACTGGTTTCTTTGAAAGGTTCAGCCACCTGTTTGGTGTGCACATGACACACGAGAGCCTTCCGAGCCTTAAATCTGAAGTGCCAGTATAGCACTTCTAAGTGCATCAGAGGAGCACTCTGATGATAGGCACGTTTGCTTGGAAGTAAATTTGGCTGAATTTTTATTCTAGCTAGCAGAAGTTAAATGGAGGCATCAGTCTCTCTACACAGCAAGATCTTGGCAGGAGATTTAGTGACTGCCACACACAGCTTGTTTCTGAGTCATACCTGAGTCACAGGTATGTCAGTGACAGAACCCAGTTTGGGTCATGCTGAAACCCTGTAGCAGCCGGAGTAAAAGTGACTTTTGAAGCATATTGGGGCAAGTAAGAAGATGATGTTGAGCCCCATATGCCTGCACTTCCCCTCCAAAATGTCTTCTTTCCATATGTATTTCTCTTGCTGGGCCTTAAAGCCAGAAGTATCCCCCACTGGAAAGAAAAACAGTCTGGGAGGGACTCTTCTCTTTAGCTCTTCATTTCCACCTGCCCTTAATGTACTTTTAAATGATTGCTTTGCCTTACTGGGGTACAGAACTGACCGCAGCGTGACATGCAGGCCTGCTACTGTCACTTCCAGTTTGAACCTAAGAGCCAGACTGGACATTATTTTTATTGTACTATTCGGAAACATGTCAAACTAAAAAACCTAAATTGGTTCCAATTAGAGTTCCCCCTCCAACTTAATTGGATTTTTGTCAAGGTTTGGGGAGTTAAATCTCCCCTCTCTGCATACTGCAAACTTGATGTTTTTATAACCTGCCCAGAGTGCCATACTTGGCTATGGGGTGGGATAAGAATCTAAGAAAGAAAGACAATAAGGAAGTGTGCCCATGTGATGAAATGTACCCATATAACCAGATGTATTTTAATGTCATTGCTAACTGCAGTAAGGTAACATTTTCTTGGCCCCAAATTGCTCAGAGTTGACCATTTCTCTCTTTGTCTATGGGTGTATGCAGAGGCTGCTTATTTCCTGTAGGTTAGTAATGCAGGAGAACTTGAGTCATAACATACATGCAAGTATCTAGATACATTATGACACGATTCTGGCGTGTCTCCACTGTGAGATGAAATCCTAAGCGCAAGAGAGAGTCCGGGCAGCTTACACCATCCGGAAAATTGGGTGTGTCCGATTATGTGTGGGGGGTTCACTTTATCCATCCTTTGGGATGATGTGTTCAGTCTAGAGTTTGTGTAACTCTTTCTGTCCTCTTTGCTCAGGGTCACACTGGTTGTGTCAACTGCCTCGAATGGAATGAAAAGGGAACGTAAGTAGGTCTTCACAACAAACAGGATGACTGGAGGAATAACGAAATGCCGCCTTCCCCAACCTGGCGCCTTCCCACTGTTTTGAGCCATGACTTCCAGGATCCCTGACTCCCAGGACTGGCCATACGTTCTTGGGCTGACGGATGACTGAGTCTCTCAACTTTTAATGGACTCCTGGTTGGGGAAGCCTGGTATATTAGGTGTCCTGGGTGGAATGGACATCCTGGACAGTATATGTGGGGAGCAGGGGAACAGCTGAAGGACGAGGGTTGTCGTGCAGGGGTGCTTCTGAATCGGGAGCTATCACTTGAGGCACAGGTGGGCAGTGGCATGGGGCACCTTTTATCAGCCTGAGCTGCTATGCCAGCCATGACCCTCCCTGCTCCAAGGAAGCCTGGCCTCAGTTATCCATGCTCTGGCAATCTCTCGCTTGGATCGCTGCAACGCACTGTGTGTTGGGCTGCCTTGGAAACAGACCAGAGACCTCAGTTGATCCAACACAGGACAGCAAGACTCTTGGTGGGCACTGGCTCATGAGAACACATTATGCCAGGCCTCTTCCACTTACACTGGCTGCAGGTTGAAGTCTGGGCCTGATTCAAAGTGCTAGTACTGACATTCAGAGCCCTAGATGGCCTGGGGCCAGGTTGTCTGCCAGGTTGTCTGACGGATTGCCTCCTCCCACAAATCCCTGCCCAGAACCTGAGGTTTCCTTCAGGGATCCTTCTCCAGGAGCCTCTGCCAACGGAAGCGAGGTGGGTGGCTTTCAGGAGGAGGGCCCTTTCCGTTGTGGTTCCCCAGTTTTGGAATGACCTCCTGAAGAGGTGTGCCTGGCACCTATTTTGTATTCTTTTCAGTGCCGGGCAAATGTATTCTTTTCATTTCCTCAGCATTTTTACAATCGAATTTTTAACCTTTCTTTTATTATAACCCATTTTATTCTGTACTGCTGCTATGCTTCTTTGCTGAATAATAGCAGTTACGATCACAATTGTGGTTTTGTTCTTTTAAATTAATTTTTGTGTGTGTGTCCTTTTAACTTTTGTTAACTAGCTAGAGAGCCTCAGCTATTGGACAGTATAAAATGAATTAATTAAACAAATAAAAATAATAATAACAGGAGCTGGAGATAAATGGTGGAAGCGAAGCTTTTGACACCGCTGTCTCCTTTGCCCTCCCAGCTTGCTGGCTTCTGGCTCCGACGACCAGAATGCGATTGTGTGGGATCCCCTGCACCACAAGAAGCTCCTTTCCATGCAAACAGGGCACTCAGCAAACATATTCTCTGTGAAGGTGAGTGGACTTTGGACGAGTTGGGAAACAGAAAGGCAACGGGAGGGGAGATGGTCCCCTTTCAAAGTATAAATTACAACTAAGGAGAACTCTGTTTTTCACTCGTGTGTGTTTAATTTTTAGCACTAGAGATACATGGCTCTGTTGCAAACCTGCTGCACAGTATCTCTGACCGAGGGTCTCTGCCTCCCCCAGTGACCCCTCCAGAGCTCTGGGGCTGCACCTCCCAGCATCCCGGACCAGTGGCCATGCTGGCTGGGTTGATGGGAGTTGGTCCAAGGCTTCCAGAGAGTACCATGCTTGGGAAGATTGGTCCAAAGCATTCCGAGGCAAAACCGCCGTGTGATACCCTGGCACTCTCCCCGCCCTCGCCCACTAACCGTGCACTTGTGCCGCTCCCACCCATTCCTGCCCGTGCAGGAAAACATCCCAGCAGATCGTGTTTAATGGACTAATTCCTCTGTCTCATCCTGCCACTGAACTTGGAACCTGCAGCCCAACACCTGGGACTGCTGCCCCGCCTTGCTTCATCAGCCAGATGCCTCTGTTTGGATGGCTCCATTGGGCTGACCATCGGGTTGATTTTGTGCATTCAGCACAGAGTTTTCCATACTCTCTGATCGAGCCTCCCCTGATGCAAATTGGCTGTCACAAGCACATGGTGCTGTGCGGTTTCTCTCTCCCAGCTCCTTGTGTGCTCACTGGCCATTGCGTTTGCGGTGGCCAGCACACCCGACCGGCCCATCCGGCACACGCTCACTCTGGCCAAAAGAAGCAGCAACATCTGCACAGATTACAAAGCTACACTTGTAACGGCATGGCTCTCCTAACTGCAGAATGGAAATGGGGCCAGCTGTAAAGAAGAATAAAATGTTGCCGCAAACGATAAGATAAGCCAGCTGCACGTTTTTTGGTGTGATCTTGGAAACACTGAATACAGAATGTGTGGTGTGGCAACAGCAAAACTGCATCTGAATGAGCCGAGATGGCATAATCTAATTAAAATATTTATTCCATCTTTCTGGGATTCTTCAGGCGGCTCATGTTCAGCACAGAGTACAGTGCTGTACTATGCAAACACAGTTACCTCAGTGAAGTTTCCCTTTGTCCATGTCTACCACCAGTTTGATCTTTCAGAACCATCCGTTTTTGTGGCTTTCAATGTAAGCCTGGTAAGGCCACTCTATAAGTGAAGTCACACTCGGTCTAAGGAAACGATAAGCCCGGAGACGTCAGCCCAACTCAAGACGCTTCTTGTCCTGTGTGACCAGTGCATGCTCTCAAATGCGTCTGGTGGGCCCATGCGCCAACATAGGTCTGCATTTGGGTGCATTTGGGCCCTCACTGTACTTGGGAAATCTTAGTGGCCTTTGCGCTTTCTCTATGCTGAATTCTGCCACTTGCTGCTCTTCCTACCTTCCCATGATGCAGAAAATCAGCCCATTCTTTGAGCGGCACTTGAAGGCGCTGTGCAGTTTCTTGGAATGTGCATATGCTGGAGAGGGAGATCATGCCAGTCCCACCCCTGCATCTACCTGCCATTTGTCACTGAAATTGATGTGAGGACGGTTGGCCCACACATTTATTTATTTATTAAAACATTTCTATGCCGCCCCTTGCCGAAGCCTCGGGGCGGCTTACAACACAATAAAATACAAAAATAACAATATAAAATTAACAATATAAAATAAATAACAATGTAAAAGAAGTCACCCTGGCAACGTGCTCAGGCCCGATTGGTGCAACACTGCAGGGCTAGTTTCTTTGTGTACGGACGGCCTCGATGTGTGTGGGCTCCAAATGCCAAATGCAGGGGTTGGCGGAATACAGGTGTCCCTTGGCGGCACCCTAACACTTGCACTTATATAGAAAATGCAGAATTCTGCATACTGCTCGCACCTGATGTTTTGCATCTAAAATGCGCTCAATACTGCCTGTAAAGAAAAGTTTAAGGCATCCTTTGGAGAGGATAAATTAAGCCCATCAAGTGAGGCCTTCCTCAAGAGACACCGCGGCCTGAGAAAAGGTATCTGCTTGTCTGTCATGAGGTAAGAAGTGTTCTTATGGCTGGGTGGGAGATCAGTGCTTTGACTGAAGATCTTGCTTGTTTTCCATAGTTCTTGCCGCATACAGAGGATCGGATACTTATCACTGGGGCTGCTGACTCCAAGGTGCACGTCCATGACTTGACTGTTAAAGAAACCATCCACATGTTTGGGGATCACAAAAACAGAGTCAAGCGCATTGCCACTGCTCCCATGTGGCCCAACACCTTCTGGAGTGCAGCTGAGGATGGACTGGTCAGGTACAAGTTTTTGTCATCTTCCGCCCTGAGGAGTGATAGCCGCTGTATCTCTTCTCACCCAGCTCTCCCAAGGACCGTGGGGTTTGTGAGGAGGCTAATATTTCTCCCTTGGCCACAAGGGCAGTTCCCTTGGAGGGGGTTTGGTGAAAGCTGGAACTCTTAAACCAGTTTTCGCATTGGCATGACACCTTATGCTGTATCAGGCCATTGGCAAATAGACAAAGCCAGTTGTCAGCTGTAACTGGTAGCAACTCTTTTTGGTCTTGGGGTCACGCCTGGCAGGTGATGCAAAATCCTTCGATCAGAGATGCCAGGAATTGGACCAGTGGCCTTAGGCACACACTGTACTATTGAGCCACAGGTCCTCTTCATCAGACTTCTCATCATGGATAACCCATATAAAGAAAAGCCAGGACTTCAAAGACGTAGGTTAGAGAAGTATTCAAGGTGCTGGTTATTACCTATAAAGCCCTTAGGGGCTTGGGACCTGGATACCCAAAGGAACGCCTTTTTCCATATTTGTCCTCCCACCCCCTGAGATCGGCAGCAGAGGCCCTCCTCCGGGAGCCCTCCGTGAAAGACATTAGGAGGCAAAGTACTCGGAGGAGGGCTTTCTCTGCGGTGGTGCCCTGCCTATGGAATGCGCTCCCCAGAGAGGCCTGCCTGGCGCCGTCGTTATTTGTTTTTCAGCACCAGGTTAATACCTTTTTATTTAATTAATATTTTAATAACTTTTAATATTAGCTATTTATGTTTTAATCTGCAGCCAGGGTGGATCTGGAATTTATTTGTATTATGTTTTTATTACTATTTTTGTTTGTTTATGTAAGCCATCCTGAGGCTCTGTGGAAGGACGGCCTATAAATATTCTAAATAAATAAATAAATAAGTATGGGTATCTCAGCTGAATTCACTCCTTTCCTGTGGATCACCAGCTCAACACTTTCGTTCCATTTTTTTAGGCAGTATGACCTGCGAGAGAACAGCAAACACTCAGAAGTTCTGATAGATCTGACAGAATACTGCGGACAGCTTGTGGAGGCAAAGTGCCTCACTGTCAACCCCCAGGACAATAACTACCTAGCCGTGGGAGCCAGTGGGCCGTTTGTGCGGATCTATGATATACGCATGATCCACAACCACAGGTAATGGTGCCTAAACCTGGTCAGCTTCCAGCTGGGGCGAAGCTTCAAATGCAAGAGGCAATAATGATAACAGGAACAAGAGGTTCAAACACCAGTTCAAACAAGGTAGCAGCTCAGATTCTACAGGGGCAGGGTTGAATAATAAATAGGAGTGGAGGAACTCCCAGCAACACAGACGCACACACACACGAGGGAGATGGGAAGGAAAGGGAAATGGGAGAACAGCATACAAAATGCCAAGTTCAAATCCTAAACACAATTCCCAAGCCTCTTGACCATCTCAGACTTAAAACAACAAAGCTAGCTAACCTACCACCGATATCAGATAAAATACTTTGCGAGTAGCATAGCAAGGTACTGGCAGATGGAGCCTTCAACAGTAACCGGTTTCTCTCCAAAGGGGACAAATGCCAGCTCGAATGTTCTCTTTTTATCCCCCTCTCCAAGCAATCAAAGTCCTTGGTTCCATAGAGTGACGTCTCCTGGGCATTCCCAGGTGGGACCTACAAGACTGAATTGGGCTTTGTAGGCACAGTACAACAAACTGACCAATTTCCCCATTGGTTTTTATATATTTCTCCTTTTAATATAACTGTTTGTGCTTTCTAATTTGCCTCACCAAGAAAAATGGAAGTTTCCTTTTTAGAGAAGCAAGCCAATGAGAGAGAACTAAACTTTGCCCCTCTCTTGCCTAGAAAAAGCATGAAGCAGAATCCCACAGCTGGAGTCCACACGTTTTGTGATCGACAGAAACCTCTCCCAGATGGAGCAGCCCAGTACTATGTAGCAGGTATGGCTGTTGCAACGGGTGCTTGGTGTATCTGTCCAGGAGCTTGATCATTTTGGTGGCTTGAGGAGAGGTGAAGATGCATTTAGGCAACTCCAGCCAGGTGTCTGAGAGTGATCTTCTGTTCTCTGGGAGGGTGTGCCTGGCACCATGGGTTGTTTTGGAGTCCCTCTTTCAAGGCCTCAGGGGGCAGAGATCAGTTCCTTTTCCGGCTCCTTCACAGCTGCAGCAGAAAGAACCCTGACATCTGCGTTCTGGGATCACACAAGCAACTTCAAGGAGGGAGAAAAGGGGGACACTGTGGTGGGCATTGAAGAGAGGAGAGGCTGGGAGTTGCAGAATCCTTTGGTCTCTCTTGTCTCCTCTGCTCAGGGAGACAATCAAAGTCTAGAAAGAAAAAACTGGAAAATGCCTGGAAAGGGGCAAAGGAGGCTGGAGAGGTGGACACCACCCCGTCGCTCCTCCTGTCCTGCTGGCAGCAGCCTGACCAGGCACCACATACTTGGGAGCCTCTGAGATCAAAGGCCTCCATGTGGTGGGAGGCAGACCAGTAGGATGATGCTCTTTCACGTAGATCTCATCGCTGCAGCGTGCATCCAGCTTGTGTTACCGAGCCCGTTTGGGTACCACAGGAACTGGCGTTCATACAGGGTGGTCCTCTTACCTTGGAAGGCCTTTGCAGGCTATTGGTAATAGTAGGCTGAAGCAGCTCCCATTCTTCAGTGGCTGAACAATGCTTGAATCTTTCCACCTCTGCAGGGCACCTTCCAGTTAAATTGCCTGACTACAATAACCGGCTGAGAGTGCTGGTCGCAACATACGTCACCTTCAGTCCCGACGGTACAGAGCTCTTAGTCAATATGGGAGGGGAGCAGGTAAGAACAACTCTGGATGCTCAGGAACCTTTCTGCCAGCCTCTCTGCACAGTGCTATAGGCAGAAGCACTGCAGATAATGCCCAGTGCTTTTTTGTCGGGCCTCTTTGGGCTTGTGAGTTGCCCATACTTAACTGTTATACAAATTTGACCTAACCCTTTATATGACTTGGAACATCTTTGATGGCCTAGGAAAACTGCTAACAAGTTTGTACCTCCTCTGACCGAGGAACTCCCTCCTTGGGAAGCAAAAGATATACTTCCTTAGGCACCAGGAAGTGCTGGGCAGAGGCTTTTTGGACCATTTGGAGAGCAATGGATTGGTGGAAGGGGGCAGGGAACATGGAAAAGATGCCCTCCCTGTCATAAGGTCCTTCAGTCTACGCTGGGTGCATCTTTTGGCAGGAGTCCGTGTCTTCGGTTTTCTTGCTGAAAGAACAAAATTAATGTATCCTTGGCTGAAGAGAGATGTTTCTAAGTCCTACTCGTAGCTTTTGTGTGTGAGACCGGATAAGACTGTCCACACTGCCTATACTGGATTATTAACTGCATTTTTGTGTGTGAGAGGCGTTGTTACTCCATGTATTCTTATACTCAGATATGTCAGTCTGGATCAACAGCAAACCAGTACCTTTGTGTGGGTGCTTTATTGCTTGCTTGTCATTTCTCTCCAGCTGTACTGTTTGCAAGAATGATTTGCTGTCTTTGCTTGATTTCTAGGTGTACTTATTTGACCTGACTTACAAGCAGCGGCCATATACTTTTCTCCTGCCAAAGAAATGCCGCTCCTCAGGAGGTATGTGTGTTTCATTCATCTTAAGTGAAGGGAAGGATCTTCATTTCTTTTGGTTCCCAAGCCGTTTCCGTGTGCAGCTTCTGGCATTTTTGGAACCATCTAAGTTTCTAGCTCTTGTGGGTGTCTGACATAGATTTCAGAGTGAATATCACGAGCATTTCCTTGCGGAATCCTCTGGAATAATGGCTGGTGGACATACGAACATAAGAAAAGCCATGCTTGGTCGGATCAAAGGTCTGTCTAGTCCAGCACTCTGTACACATTGTGGCAAACCAGCTGCCCACAGGACACCTCCAGCAGATGGGCGCAGCACATCTTCCTGCCGGGCTCCTCAGCAGCTGGTATATGCAGGAATGCCACCTCTGCTGAAGGAGGCAGCACAGAGCCAGCAAGGCTGGTAGCCACTGATCGCCTTCTCCGCAGAAAAAAATGGCAGCAGTGCCTAGGTTCCCAGTGTTCCTTTCTCCCCATTTTCCATGAATGCTCCATCCATAATCATCGACCACCTTTGGCAACATCTCTCTCGCACGGAAGCTTTTCTTCTGTGTGGGTGTTTCTTTGAGTCGGTCCCGAGGGTCACATTTGGCTTCAACCAAGTTCAGGGCATACATAATTGCATTTTATTAATGACATGTAAATCTAATATGCAAAATAACTTTCCGCCTGGTGCTTCAGGTATAGTTGCCAGAGCAGGTATGGCTTTGTTAAAAGCCATGGAGTGGCAGAGGGCAGTGCCAAGCAGAGAGACGGCCCCTCTCGGAAAGCAGGTTGGAAGTCCCTGGTGTCTAAAGCAGAACAGCGAAGCGATAGGGCCACGTGTTTCTAATGGACTGCAGTTTATTCTGGGGGTGGGGAGGGGCTGAGACGTGTATGGGGCAGAACTCAGTGGCTTTGAACGATCAGTTTAGATAACAGATTGGTGCAGTGCAGTGAATGTAATGCTAGAGTCAAACTCTAGTGACTCTATTGCCAAGGAAGAAACGTGTAGTACCTCCAGCGTGCCACCTGGGGGTGCAGTTTCCCCATCTCTGCAGCCCTGTTGGTGTTGACAGCAGAGGCCTGGCAGGAACTCCCCTGGCGACTGCCCTGATTTCGGGAGTCAAAGGCTGAGCAAACCAAGCAGGACTGAGGGCCTTCCTGCAGCAGGCACTATCCTGCTGTGAAAGCCCAGCTGTGGAGGCCACCTGGATTCTTGATGATGCTTGCCTGGAGATTCCTCTCAAGCCATTGCTAGACCACCTGGGATGTGTGCCATCCTTTTCCCCTCGCTGGGCAGATAGAGGGTGTGATGGGGCATTTCTTCCCAGCCAGGCTGATCTCTGTCCGGCGCTTCTGGCGGTGGCCAGTTCAAGCTGTTTGGGGGCTCTCCTGCTGCCAGGTGTGCCGCCTGCTTGAGAAGCGAGGAGAGTGGAGCACCAAGGATGTGAAAGCCAAGCGGGGCGTCCTCCCAGCCTGACATCTGGCTGGCTTTCTTACTGCAAAAAACCTGTGCTTGTGCTCTTCTCCTCCCGCCCCAGAATGCATTCCTGGCACAGACCCACAGGTCTGAAGTGTGTTTCACGAGCTCAGATACACACCAGCCCTCCAAGCTTGCCTTGCACTGCGCACACACCCCCTCCCTGCCTGTCTCCAGGCCAAGATTCCCAGCAGTGTCTGTAGCAGAGGCAGGAAAACTATCCTTATTCTGTTGCCTTTCTGCTGCATATCTGGTAGAGAGACAACACTGTAGCCTCTCATTCCTTCTAAGTCATTCTGAACAAATGTGGTGTCTTGGAAAAAGCCAGTAATACAGAGCAGGTTACAGCCTCCAGCTAGAGTAGCCCTGCCTTTCCCAACCTGGTGCTCTCCATGTGTTGTGGACACCAGTTCCCATCAGCCCCTTGGCCATGCTGGGAGATGCACTCCTACACTTCTGGAGTACATCCAGTTGGGAAAGGTGGGTCCTTTCCCTGTAGGCACTGTGTGCATCTAGGATTACTGAAACAACATCTATCTTGGGGTGTGTGGGATGCAGCCTTGCATGATGTACAGACCCATTCATTCATTCAGGCATTTCTGTACTGTTCAATTAGCACAGTGCTCTCAGAATGGTGTAAGGATTCTGTTAAAACAATGCACAATGTAACATTCAATTGAAAAACAATTTTAAAATTTATTATAGACAGTGAGATCCAGTTGAAATCCTGAGTGAGGTCTTGGTTACACAGTAAAATAGCCAAACCCTGTAACAAACTTGCGAAGCAGCTTCTGGCTGGCCACACACACGTGCGCGCACAAGCACACACACGGCATCAGATCTGCCACAAGGCGGCCCTAGTATCATAGTAGTGTATTTAAATCCAGTCCTTCCTCTGGCAAGAAGAAACCCAGGGCACCTCGCAAGGTTGCCCTCCTCTCTGTTTTGTTCACACCACGATGGCCCTGTGAGGCTGGGAGTCTGACCGGCCCGCAGTGCCCAGGCAAGCTTTGTGGCCAAGTAGAGGATGGAATGCAGCTCTCCGGGTCTCAGTCCAGCCCTAACCGCTACCCTGCCATGCCCATCAGCGGCTTGCCTTTTGCCAGGATCACAGAAATGAAGGATGTGATGTGCTCTCTCTACACACTGGGAGTTGCTGTGGGGGTGCGCACGTGTGGAGCAAGCACGTGCTGCCGTTACACTTCCAGGTGGACAGGTCCATGAAAACCGAAAGGCCGGTGTGCCCAAGATGCCTCTACCTTGCTCGTTGCTCTCATTTGATTCTTCCCCACTTTATGACCCCCAGAGGTGCAGAACGGGAAGACCTCGACCAACGGAGTGTCCAATGGCATCCATCTCCACAGCAACGGCTTCAGGCTGTCCGAGGGGCGAGCGCACATGAGGTGAGGCCACGCCCTTCTTCTGTGAGGTGATGCCGGCGTTGTTTGGCCCCAGCGGTGCCCAGAAAGCCATGAGGGTTATTTGCAGAGATGCAGAGCAAGAGCCCGCTTGGCCAGGGGCTGCAGCTCCTGCCGGACGGAGACTGACGCAGCTGCTCAGACCCACAAGACGCTGCCCCGTCCCCCTTGCTCATGAGATCACCTCCTCTTGTGAGTCAGTATCTACCTGTTGCCAGCTTCAAAGACCCATGCGCGGCTCTCTCTGCTCCCGAAAACGTGTCGCACCCCTCTAATTGTCCTCAGCCTGCTGTTCCCCACAGGTGTTGAATACAGCTGACCATATGATAGGCCCCGTAATTCAATTGCCAGGGGACAGAAGGTTGTGTAAGGTGACCCTGCACTGGCCTAGTGCTGTGTGTTGCACCTTGTTTGTTCCCATTTTAATTTGGGAAACCTCGATGTACAGATGAGCACGACAGAAAGGAGTGGGCTTCCGTGGCGCAGGCTTGCTCTGCCCCACTCCAGCCTGCCTCGCTCCTGCAGTTCACAGGTGGAGCTGCCTCCCTACCTGGAGAAAATCAAGCTGCAAGCCAACGAGGCTTTTGCGTGCCAGCAGTGGACTCAAGCCATCCAGCTCTACAGCAAAGCTGTCCAGAAAGCCCCCAACAACGCCATGCTGTACGGAAACAGAGCCGCAGCCTACATGAAGCGCAAGTGGTGAGCAAGCAGGGCCCTTTGTGGGGGGCGCCCACACAGGCGGGTCCAGCCCTACCGTTAGCCAAGCTGAGGGAGCTGCCTCAGCTAACAGATGCTGGTGGGCAGCGAGGGACCATAAGCGGCTGGTGGCCATGCTGTGGTTGTCGCACGGACCGAGTTTTGCCTCCCTCGCCCAGGAAGGTTCTGCTGCCAGTCCAGACTCCTATACATTGGGGAGGGGGGGTGCAATCTTACCCTGCATCTCAGGCAACCGCATGCCTTGGGCAGACCTTGGGAAGGAGGCTTTCTTGCCGCCTGGCGTAGTTCTGGGTGGCCTGCTCTTATCTGTGCATCCTATGATCCAGGAACAGGTATAGTTTGCATGGGTGTCCGTCAGTGCCATTGCAGCTGGTTTGTGGATCCGCTCTTAGGCTGCCCCCCTGCGCAAAGACACTGCACGTGTCTCCTTTCAGTTCAGAAAGGCCTAGCCTTTGCCTTGCAGCATTCCTGCCCCCCCCCCCCCCCCCCCGCAGATGGTCTTTCCCTGCTGGGACAACACCACTCCATATCAGGGCTGGGGAGGGCTCGCCTCTCACCTCTGCAGCAGGAAAAGCTTCCGTTCTGGGGGAAGTGCGGAGGCACGTGTGGCCCCTCGTTGGGCATGTAGGGGGTCCCGGTCAGGCTGGGAAAGACTCTGCAACCCAGAGGGTGGTGGCCAATCTGCGTGGTTGAGCACTGGGGCAGCTGGAGCCCTCCAGATGCTGCCAGCCGCATCTCCACTGTCCCTCCCACTGGCTATGCTGGCTAGGGCTGAAGGGAGGTGCCGTCTCACAGGTGTGTGTGTGTGGGTGGGTGTGTGTGTGTAGCAGGGAGTCAGCTTCGTTCCTCATGCCTGGCGTAGACGGTGCTCAGCCGGGGCGAAAGATCTGACAGAGTAGAAGGCAGCTGCCTTTGTCAATCTGGAAGCAACTGTGCTCTTTTCGGGAGTGGGAAGACAGGGACTGGTGTCAGGCTGTGTGCAGTGCAGGGCTCTTCTGCTTCGTTCCCCCTGCAGGGATGGGGATCACTACGATGCCCTGAGGGACTGCTTGAGGGCCATCTCCCTGAACCCATGTCACCTGAAGGCTCACTTCCGCCTCGCCCGCTGTCTGTTTGAGCTGAAGTACGTGACAGAAGCCCTGGAGTGCCTGGATGACTTCAAAGGGAAGTTCCCTGAGCAAGCACACAGCAGTGCTTGCGATGCCCTGGACCGGGACATCAACGCCGCGCTCTTTTCCAAAACGGATAACGGTGAGGACCGGCGTGGTGGCACGCCGCCCTTCAGCCCTCGGCACTGCACTGCCGGTCTCCCTTCCTTGGAGGCCCTGTCCTCAAGGCTAGACAGCGACAGCCTGTTCCCTTTGCTTGCTTGCTTGCTTGCGTCTGTCCCAGTCATTTTTTCCAGACAGGGCAAACCAGTCATGGGGCAAGGGGGAAAGCGCCGTCCAGCTCAGGGAAAAAGGCAAAATAGGAGGGATGGTGAAACCCTGTACTCCGTGTCCCCTGAGCCTGAGCCAGTTTGGAGCCCCCTGTGGCCACTTTGAAAAGTAGCCGCCTTTTTAATCTCCAGCTTCCCTTCTCTTTAGCCCTGATGGGCGCCTGGGAGTGGCTTGGGCGCAAAAGTCCTTGACTTGACCCCCCAGCTGAGTGGGTGGCCTCGCAAAGTTGCTGTGATGTGTTCCCCATTTGTAGGGGTGTGGGTTGGGGTTGTGGAGAAAGCTTAATGGACGGAAGGGCTTTCTGTCTTGTCGGATCTGTAGAAATAAGTACCTCTCTATTTAACTCGGTTTAGCGGAAGACAAGAAAGGAAGCGGCCCCATCTGGCTGCGAGCAACCGGCCGCAAAGATTCCATCTCGGATGATGAGATGGTGCTTCGGGAGCGCAGCTATGACTACAAATTCAGATACTGTGGCCACTGCAACACCACCACAGACATCAAAGAGGCAAACTTTTTTGGCAGGTAGGGGCACCTGAATGACTTTCAAGTGCAAAGTTTCTGCGACATATTTATTTAAATAATTTCTATCCTGCTCCTTAGCCAAAAAGGGCTCTTGCAGCAGCTTCTAATCAATCAGGAAGAAAGGCAGGTCTTGCCCACAGGCTTAAAAAGGCATGGCATGCAAGGACAGAGGGATCCTTGGAAGTAGACCTTGCCCTGTTTTTTAATATGTGTCCTGTGAGATCACAGAACACTAGAGCTGGAAGGGGCCAGAGGGCCACTGAGTCTGGCCCCTGCTCCGTGCAGAACGTGGCCTCAGTTCTTCCACTTCTTTTCTTCCCAGCAATGCTCAGTACATTGTCAGTGGCTCTGACGATGGCTCCTTCTTCATCTGGGAGAAAGAGACAACCAACCTGGTGCGGGTGCTGCAGGGGGACGAGTCCATTGTCAACTGCCTGCAGCCGCACCCGAGCTACTGCTTCCTGGCTACTAGTGGCATCGACCCGGTTGTACGACTGTGGAATCCCAGGCCAGAGGTAAGACTGGGGCCCATGGCTGGGCTGGGGCTGCCCACAGGAGCCGGCCGTCTCCCTCAGACCCACGGATGAGGGCTTGTTGCAGAGCCCTCCTACACAGCGGAACAGGGCAGGCTGCCGCAGGACTGAGAAGCTCCAGCAAAAGGAGAAGGGGCTTGGTGCACCCAGCATGGCTCTCTCACGCCTTCAGAAACCGTTACACAACCTCATCGACACGGGGGTGTCCCCACGGATTTGGCGGGCCCTTCCTGGGGGGCGGTTGCTATTTCCTCAGACGGAGATTGGAATGTAAAATGCAAGCTGGTTTTGCCTGCCTAGTTCTGCTCCTGTCCTTGATGATTTTAATAGCTGTTTTTCGGGGTGGCTGGTAGTCTGCTTTGGAACTTATTTATGGACCAAGTGGGGTGTGAATATGAAAGAATGCTCATGTGTTAATCCTCATCGCCATTTCACCAGATGGTGGGTGACCAGAACTAGCATGGCATAGAGGGCAGTGCTGGACTTGAAAGTGAGTTCCAGTCTCAGGTCAAATACCTACCCCGGTCATTTTTGGGAAGTCTAAAATATGTGTGCTGTCAAACTCTGGGGGACCAGGTGGCTCCTAAGAAGTCTTTGTCTTCTTTTAAATACCAAAGGATTTCTCTCCTTTCCCCTCTTTTTACAATTAAAAACCCTGCCACGTCTTGACAGAGTGGTGTTTTCAGCACTTGCAAGAGGAGAGGGAGATGGCCTGAGCCCAGTGGCTCGTGAGGGCAATGCCTTCGTTCAAAAGCAGTTCAAGATCATCTTCTGTATGGGACAATGAACCCAAAGGAGATGATGGAACTCACAGTCACAAGATGTGTTGAAGGCCACCAGCTTGAGATTGCATATTGAGAAAGGTTAGATATATATCCCCCCTTTTTTTAGATAGAAAAAAACCATAAATACAATCACAACAACAATAATATGACATAACAAGAACACAGTGATTAAAAAGAATAAATGAAAGAGTCCACCCACCATCCTGGAGACCAATACTACTATCATACACATACTATAACAATTAATAGTATATAATATACTTCAATTATACCCATATCCCCTCCAGAAATTCATATAATCTTGATTGGGTTTACAGCCTTTGCCTTCTATCAGTACTGCTTTTACAAAATATTCCCAAATTTCTTTATATTCATTTGCTTTCATTAACCCTTTTTAAAATTTTCATTTCTGTTGTCAGTTTATCATTAGCTGCCATATTCCAAATTTCATTACACCCTTCGTGCCCTCGCAACACCCAGTTCTGAGGGATCAGCCATCCCTCCGCGTCTCCTGGGCGTGACGGCTGCACAACGCCTCCCTCTTCAGAGGCAGCGTGCCCAGTGTGACCCACGCCTGGCCCACCTGTCTCTGTCTCTAAACCTGCAAGCAGCCCCCTCCTCTGCACTTTGTCCTGCGTGAGCAGCTGGCCCTGGTGCCTCTCCCTCTCCTGTTTTGCAGAGCGAAGCATTGAATGGGCGGGTGGTGGAAGATATGGAAGGCGCCTCCCAGGCCAACCAGAGGCGGATGAATGCTGACCCCCTGGAAGTGATGCTGTTCAACATGGGCTACCGGATCACGGGGCTGACGGGCAGCGGGGCCGGAGGCCTGGACGACGAAGACAGCTCCGACGGGCAGGTCCACTGCCGGACCAGCTAAAGCCGAATTGCCTCTCCTTCCCAGCGTTTTGGTTTTGGGGTTGTATTGTTTGAAGGGAAATCTAGTTTGCTCAGTTTGAACTCTGATGAACGACTGCACTGTTTCACACTATGCACAGGATAGGACATGCCGGCAGAGGCAGGAGTGGCTTTGTCTTAACCGCTGCTACAGTTTCTTCCCCTGCGCCCTCTTCCACTGTTGAGCAGCATGGTAATGCGGCCTGTTGAGATTTGCCTCCTAGCAGAATCCAGTCTGTGCAGAGATTTCGTTTCCTTGTTGTCCGTGAGCAGTGTAACACAGGGTAGCCGACCCCTCCTGCAGAGCTGCCGCACGGCTCCTGGGCGGGGGAGGCGTTGCCTACATGAATGCGTTTTTTGCAGAGAGGATGTTAAAAACTCAATAAAGAAGTGAAAACTAGGGCAGGGATTATGGCATGAAGTTCAATGCAGTGATCTTTGTCTCCGAAGCTTGGCTTGCCTGCTCTGCGGTTAGATCAGGCTCACAGTCTGTGGCCTCTGTTCAGCTGACAAGCATCCACTCAGCCCCTGCATCTGAAACACAAGGCAATGTGGCTGGATAAAACACCGTGGTTAATGTAGCACCGGACGTGCTGCGTCCATAGCATCAAGCCGAGGAATGTCTGGCTCTGGTATCTAATACTTTATTTCTTCTGTGCACAGAGAGGCACAGCTCGTGCATGTGACCTGGCATTGCTCCCGTTTTGAAAACCCCTGCCTTTCTTTTCCCCTTGTCCCAAAATATTCGCTTTCCTTTGTCCCCAGCCAGGGAGTGTGGGGCATTTCACCATTGTGCCTCAGCACAGCACGGGTCTGATCACTGAGGAGGCTGTGTGCTGCGAAGACCTGCCTGAGGGTTCAAGGCAAGGCTGCCCCCTCCGTCTCTTCAGTAGGAGGCTCCACCCCCAGCCTTCTGGCAGGTGGGATTCTGGAAAACTGCATCAACCGCTGGCTCTCCCATTGGTCCATTTTGTTAAAAGGCCCCTTTTCACCTGTGGGCTTGCCAGGTTCTGACCATCACATGGATCCTGCACAGTTGATTTGCAGTCGTCTTCCTCTCCTCCCCTCCCCCACCCAATTGCCATCCAAATCTCACCCAGATCCCTGAAAATTGCACTAATGCTTATTCAGTGTTGCTTTGCATTGCAAGGGTGAGGTTGGAGGAGACTAGGGCAAGTAGCCAGCTACTGTAAGGCTGGCTTTTGGCAATGTGGCTTTCCTGTTCTGCAGGGATATGCTCTTAAAGCGACTGCTCAGCACAGCTTGCAGCCCCCCCCCCCCCCCCCCCACAAGAGCAAATGGTGGCAGGAGTGAGACCAGCAGAGGCTTTTGCGTTCAGCAGAACTCAAGGTGAGGTGGTGCCAGTCACACTTGGTTGCCCTGAAACCTCTCGTGTTTTCTGTTCCAAGTGGCCTTCATTTGGAAACGGAAACAAAAGCAGACCTGGGAGTGTGGATATCTCGATGCAGCTGACCTTGCCAGAAGACAGCCCTTCCCTACCTGCTGCCTTCCAGGTGTGCTAACCTGCAGTCTAACACATCTGGAGGGCTTCAGGTTGGGGAAGGCTACCAGGAAACCTCCCTTTTTGCCCTCCCCAGATAGAGGCCCAGGTAATGAGTGGCAGCAGGCATACCGTGGTCTTCCTTCCGAGCAAAAGCGGATGCCGTAGCCCTGTCCAGTACTGTGTGGGGCTTCCTCTTTCCGCAGTGGGCAGCCAGGGAGAGCGCAGGGCTCTGCCTCCACCTCTCTGCCTAGGCATTTCAGATCATGGTGAAGTCTATGGTTACACAGAGTTCCTAGTCTCTGAACGGTATGCCTTCCAGGTAGCACAGCACTACAGTGCAGATAGACTCGAAGAACCTGGAACTGCCCAGGCCAATTTTCTCCCCTCCTGTTCGTTAAAGCCGTAGCCTTCTTGTAGCCCACCAGCCACTTGCAGAGTGACATTGTTTAGTAATCGCTGCATTCCTCTTTCTTTATAAAATCAGGAGGGGAACTTCAGGTTCTTCAACAGTATTAAAGCAGGATATATTATCTGCAGCATAGGTAAGAGGCTAACCTAAAGAGAAGGAGCTGGAGAGATCATGTCAATTTCTTTCCCATTCTTAGAACTTGAGTAGAAATAAAACCACAACAAAACTGAGCTGGCTGTGAGAGGCCTGGTATTTGGGCCCATGAGAAGAGAAAATGCATCCCTGCAGCAGCCATCTCCACACCCCCCCTGCCCCCCCCAGCCCAGTTCTTCTGACTGCTTTTTCCTTTCCTTCGAATTGTCAAAGCACTTTCCCTGATCTGTAAGAAATACGGTGTAAGCTTGGCTTGTGTCTTCCCTGTCCTAAAACATTGCATTGTCAAGTGTGCACGTGCATGTGTATATAAGGGAGAAATATAAAAAGGGTGGTTATTGTATTTAAAAGATGGAGTCCTATAGAGTCTTCCAGGACTCTTACGTATCCAGCTCACTGGATTCAGCCGGCCATGGCGTGACCACTCCGTGCGGCCTCGATATTGTCGATCGGGCAAGCGGAGTGGCAGCGATCGGTTCTTGTGCTGTGGGATAAGGCAACTGGGAGGAATGCCCCTTTTGAGGAACTGGGTGAATAATGGACCCTTCTAAGCTCCGCAGGTAAAGATGAAGATTTCTAAGTGTGTGTGTGTGGTGAGGAAGTGCAGGTAAGAGGGATGACGGGAATTGCCATCCAGCCTGTCGAGGGCCACATGGTCCCGATCCCTGCTTTCGAAAGGTGATTCAGCAATAGCATCAGCTACTTGTTACAGGAGTGACTTGCCCCACTACCCTGCCATCTGCCGTGTGACTAGACCATTTTTTTCTTCTGCCATGAATAGAATTTTAGTTTTACTGCTGCTTGGCTTAAAGAGAGGGGGGAAATAGTGGGCTAGAGGTAGCCCATCTTCTGCATCTCATTCTGGACACACGTGCCCTGTTTGCGAATGAGGAACTTTGTATGGATTGAGTGAAAATAACTGATAGAGGAAAAGGCGCTGTTTGACTCTCCTTATTTGCCCCCTCAGATGGGATGTAGGGAAAAGATCAGCTCTATTTTTCCTTTTGATTAACTCCTTTTTTAAAAAAAGCCCAGAAATACTATTTTTGTAATTAGCAAAAGGCTCTCTTCTGGTGTACACATTTAATGAATGTATAGAAAAGGCTTCATATTGGCAGCTGGGGAAACAGTTGCTTATATATAACTCTTCAGGAATTCAAAAGTAAAAATTTCTCCCCCAAACTTATCCCTGCAGATGTGGAGATAATACACCAGTCTCTCTCTCTTTTTTTTAAATTATTCGGAAGGGTATATTTCTGTTTCTCTGGTCGCTGGAAGAGAAGGGGTTAAGCAATTAAACAATTCTTTGTTCTGGTTTTCTTTCTGGTGTCCTTCTGTTATTCAGACATTTTTGGCTTGGGATTAAGTTCTGTGACATTTGCAAGGAGATGGTGAGTGTTGGCGTGTGCTGGCTAACACCCCCCTCATCCTTCTCTTTGGGGCAAGGCATACACTCCCCCTTCCCTTCCCAGTGGCTCCTTGTAAAGTTGCACCTTTGCTACGTAACTATGCACTTGTCGTTCCAGTGTTGACGACCTTTCTTCCAATCCCCCAAAACGGAGCAATTGGGCTTCTGACAGTCATTTAGCAGCCATACGAATTTCTGGCTGTGAAAGTACAATCTTATACTTTATAAATTTAACTAACTGATTACTTTCCTTTTCAGATTAAAACAGGAAGGAATATCTAAAATATTCTACAATTGAAATCAAGAATCTCACAAGTTTCATTAGTTTTTTGGAAATAGGACTTCTCCACTTACTATAAAGAGGGTAGGTTAGAAGAAGTGAAGTAAGATAGAAAAAGGGGGTGCAGGTGATAAGGCAGTGGTCTGTACAGAGGTGACAAATTGCCTAAATTCTGCCCAGATGGTTGGTTCTTACACTATTTTTAAAACACTTCCCAGATTACATTTAACACACTATCTACATGTATATTCTACCATTTCCATAGAAACCAATTCCGTCCTGTGTATGCTTAGATCTATCTAACTTAAATTCCACTATATTGGCCCCAGGGCCATCTAGGTCATGTGACAGTTGCATCTGTCTGTACACTCTCTTAGACACACATGCATGTTCACATGTGTTTATCAAGGTAGAACAGATGTGGGCAGCTTGTCCTGCATGGCCAGTGTTGATGGATCATGGGAGTTGTGACCTCCAGATGTTTTGGCTTCCAAACTGCCCACCCATGAGGTGAAGTCGCCTTAACACAGAAGCCACACCCAAGAAGAAGAAGCCCTGATGGAAAGCCCAGGGAAGCTCCCATTGTATAGCAGAGAGAACGTGTAGGAAGCCCATCCTGCTTCAGGGGCTGAATCTAAATCTGGGAATGGCTGCGGCGACATTCCAGACCAGAGGTACAATGAGTAGGCCATCCTGCAATTCCTACAGATTTTAAGCCATACCAGAAGTAAGTAGAATTAGATTATTTAGGCAAGCCCACTCTTTAGCAAGGAAGACTGACTCAGCTGTACTTTCAACCAGAATCCAAATAGTCTGTCCAAGTTATCTCACAGGTAAGCAGGACACACCCACTAAGCAGCTGTTCTCCTCTCGCCTCCTCCACACAGCAGAGCAAAGCTCTTTTCCCTCATCAGCAGGTGTATGGAAATCCGTGCTTTTCTCTCCTGGGAGAGGGGACAGGACTTGGGGAAAGTCCGGCTGGAGGCTCCAGGGCCTGCTATTCGAACATACAGCCTGCCGATACCCTAATCCTTTCTGCCTAAGAATTGAGATTGCAGACACAGTCTCTTGAAATGCCTCTTTAAAGGTTGGGGGGGGGGGGGGGCTGCAAGTGTTGGCCCAGTGCCAGATGTTGTGGCTTATGCTTTCTGCTTGTCTGGATGGAAACGGTTGCTGTATCTACAGCACCTCCCTAGGAGTGCTGTGGTGCAGTGGTAACATACATACTTTGCATGTCGGGTCCCAGGTTCAGTGTCCGGTTCTGTTCTAAAGGGAATGGGAAAGGCTAGCCCTGCCTGAAAGTTTGGACCTCTGCTGGACAAGGCCAGGCTGAGTAGACAATTTGTCCACCTTGGTATAAAGCAGCTTTCTGTGTTCCTACAGCTGAATGAAGCCAAGGTTGGTGGAGACTAATTGTGTGCACCTGTCCACTTGCACACATGCACAGCTAACATCCTCAGGTGATCTACACAGAATTCAAAGTGGAGAAACTCTTCTCCCCATGAATCATTCATGGTTTGTTTTGCTAGTTGACAGATGGCAGACAAGAGCAATCTAAAGTCCAGTCACTTTACAAGCCAGTTCTGCAATGAGACAAAAGCATCTGGGATACAGGGAGGAAATGGGCCAAGGAGGAGGGGGATCGACAAGGCAAGGGACCTCGCCGAAACAACTTGAACTTTGCATCATCATCTCCCAGTGAAATCATGGGTGCATTTTGAGTAGGGCAACAATCCGTTCTTGAGGTTGCGGTTATGTGTGAGCGAGAGATTACTGTGTCTGACATTCATTCTTTCTGATCTTGCCGCTGAAAACCGCTCCTTGGAGTGTGTGTGTGGGGTGGGGGGGGGGGAGACTCTTTGGCAAAGATGCAAAGACTTCATGAAACCAAAGACTGATTAGAAGCACCTGCCTCTCATGGCCAGACGGCTGCACCTGTGCTAACTGAATCTGTGAGTGCACCCTGACCAAGCCGAAGAAGATGCTGCTTTTCTTTGAAGAGGCGGCTCTCTCCCCTCAAACAGTTTCCCCTATGGATATTTATAAGAAATTGTGTACATCCATTCTGGAATAATAGCATCATTAAGTGCAAGATATTCTCTGGAGGGGTCTTTATTGATGCAGGTCTGTATTTTACTCCTGCAGCGATCTTTTCACTCAGCAGCGGGTGGAGTACTTTCTTGAAGGCCTCCTTTGCCCACTGGGGATTCAGTTACAAAACAGCATAAAGAAACGGACTTGATGGCTGCGCTAGGTCTTTCATTGCGGGGGCAGGGCAGGGGGATGTTAAATGAGCAAGAAGGGCTTCTGTTAATGCAGCCTAAAACAGTATTTGCCCTTTCTGCAGACACATCACATTGTTCGCTCCAATTCAGCTTGTGATCTTCAGCAATTCTAGGATCCGACTCGCTTGCAGTATTGTTGAGCCAAGTACTCCCCATCTTGTGACAGTGTATTTGGTTTCTTTTTCCTCAGTGCAGAATGTGGAATTTGTCCCTCCTCCATTTCATGGCATTGTTTCCAGCCCAGCACTCCAACCAACCAAGTTCACCTTGAATCTTCTTTCTGTCTTCCAGGGTATTAGCCATCCCACCCAGTTCTGTGTCATCTGCAAATGTCATCATTGTTCCCTGCACTTCCTCATCCAAGTCATTAATAAAAATGTTGAAGAGCCCTGGGCCCAGGACCGGTCCTCTCCCCAGTTTGAGAAGTACCATTGATGAGCACTCTTTGAGTCCAACTCTGTAGCCCACTGTGGATCCACTGATCGTTGTTCCTTCTAGCCCACTTTTTGCTAGTTTGCTAATCAGGTCAAAAACTCTGCTGAAGTCAAGACAGATTCCCAGCAGGGAGGTTATTATGAAATCAGATGACTCTGGCAAGATTTGTGCTTGAGAAATCCATGTTGGTTTCTAGTAATCACTGCATTATTTCCAAGGTGTTTGCTGACTGACTTTTATAATCTGCTCCAGAATTTTCCCAGGGATCGATGTCAGAGTGAATTGCAGGAATGGTGTCCTTTGGAGCCTGGCCTTCCTTCCACTGATTTTGCCTCTACATGTGCATGTCTACTTAATGTCAAAATAATCTTTTGAAAAACTCAAACACTGTGACGTGGTTTGACTGAAGGGCCCATACCGCTACAGTCCTGTCCCTGCTTACCTGGGAGTAAGCCTCACCAAAGACAGTGGGACTTATTCCAAGAAAATATGCACAGGACCGCTGCAAGTTACCTCTTTGTTCTCAACCTAAGGTTTGCCTTTGTTCTTCTGTAGGTGTCCCTGCTAGCCAGGTGACCAGAGACCCACCTAACCGGGCGACAATGTGGTTCAGTCAGGCGGAGATTTGCTCAGTTCCTTTATTCAGCTGAGCAAAGCAACCAGGTGTCCGCTCAGTACAGGCAGGCAGGAAGTGACACACACACATTCCCCCAACTGACCCTTCTTACACTTTCGCCTTCTTGCACTCAGTCTCACCCCATTGTTCCTTCATTGTTCCTCCCCATTGTCCCTTGCACATGCCTGGGTGCTTATCTACGTCCAATCCCTTCACGGGGGGGGGGGGGCAGCGTGATCACTACTGCCAGACCTTGCGTGCGTAGGGGGTCTTCTTCACTCACTACTTCCTTGTCTCCCTTTATCAAGATTCTTTTGCCTTTTCTTTTCCGCTCTGAGGAGAGCAGTTTTACAAAAAGCAAATGGCGTTTGTTAAGCTAATCAGGCTCCTTCACTTCCAAATGCAGCCTTCCCGCATCTGGTGCCCTCCAGATGCATTACACCAATTCCTAGCATTGTTAGGAATCGGTACAAAACATCTGGAGGGCACCAGGTTGAAGACCCATCAGAGAATCATAGAATAGTAGAGTTGACAGGGCTCCTGTCTTGCAGTACAAGAGAATTTCAGCTGCTGGGATTCTTTTTTCTACTCAACTGCCGCAACATCTCGCTGTCTCCTCTGTGCCACAGTCCAAGAGGGAGGCCTCCGCTCTGGGTTCGCACTTGGCCATTCAGAAGTGCGCACCGAGCAGCACGGGGACGTTCCACTGCCGCCTAGAAGCTGGCTCCTTGCAGCTCCGGAAAGCGCCTGCTCCTTCGTCCGCTATGCAAATCTGATTTTGCCGCCGAAAAGCAGAAGCAGGCTCGCTGCGAAGGAATGTAGGTGAAATGTGTCTCCTCCCGGCCTGGCCTGCCCGTCTCTTCCCTCAGCACCGCACAGTCTCTGGGTGGGGCGGGCGGGCAGGCGGCCGCCTTCCTCCAGCCCGGCTCGGCGCCTGCTTGCCCGAACATGGGCTCCGGCGGCGGCGGCGGCGGCCGCCCCGGGGCATCGAGGTGAGCGTCCGCGCCCCTTCCAGCGAGGCTGGCCCAGTGAGCCGCCTGCGCCTGCCGCCGCGCAGCAAGGCCTCCCTCGCGCTGGGCCACATGCGCCTCGGCTCCCGTGGGCCGCGCCCGCCGCCCGAATGGCCGCGGACGCCGCCTGGCACTACCAGTTCCGGATCATCACGCTGGGCGACTCCACCGTGGGCAAGTCCTCGCTCCTGAAGCGCTACGCCGAGGGCGCCTTCCTCGAGTCCATAAACCAGACCGTGGGGGTGGATTTCTACGTTCACTACGTGCAGGTGGAGCCGGACCTGAGAATCAAGCTGCAGTTTTGGGACACCGCCGGACAGGAGCGGTTCAGGTGAGTTTCCAACAGAAGTTTTCCCTGCGGGGGAGGGAACTGCGATCCACAGCTCGGGAGGATGGCAGAACTGAGGAGCCAGGCTGAAAATGGGTGTTTTTTAACTTGCATGCTTAGCTGTTTCTCCAACAAGGTCAGCCCCTGGCCAGTGCCCCTTCTTTCCGTCACAGCAGTGGGGTGGGGGGCATGTTGGGCTGGGCCTCGAATTCAGGCACCCAGCGAGCTTTATGGGCAAGCAAAGGTGTTTGCTCAGGGCTTCCTTGGCCTTAAATACAGCACTCTAACCCATCTCCTTCAGCCCAAGGGGTGCAATGAGCTTTGAAAATAGCAGGAATAGCAGCAGCACCTCGTTTAAAGGTTTCACTGCTGGTAACTAAGGCTTGGGAGTGGTATTTTAATGTTTTAGGAGTGGGGAAAATCAGCACCCAAGCCAGGAAGCTGTCAAAGGGTTGGGAGAAAGGGCTGGGCTCAAGGGACAAGGCCACCTGGGGAATCCCTGTCCTGACCCCAACCCCAGTTTAATGCACCACATCCCATCAACACATGGTCTGACCTTCCTGTGAGTACCTCCCCTATCATTTATGTTTATACTGAGAGACTGATTAATATCGGTAGGCTAATTGCCTCTACTGGGACAGTTTGAATCCTGTTTAAACCATCTAGAACACTGCATTGTTTGGCGATAAAACTGTAATCCAAACCTCACCAACATGTCTAGAAGTGCTGCAGCATCAGGAAATGAACAGATGTCGACTGAGTAAAACAATATAAAAACATAAGCCATGGCAAAGCAACAAGGTAATAAACTAGCACCAGCAGTTGAAAGTAGAAGCAGTTACAAACTAAGCCTAAACATCTTAAGCTTTGGAATAAAAGTCTTCAAAGGTGATCCAAGAACAAAATAAGCAGTGAAGGAGCGATGTGTACCAACCTAGGGAGGGAGCTCCGAAGTCCCAAGGGCCACCACAGAACCATTTCATAATCCAGTTGTTCATAATCTGGAAGAGAGAGGGGAGCATGGGGTCTCAGAAGGGTGCCATAGCCCTGTCGTACTCAAGCGCAACAGGATGAGGTAGCATGTGCTAGACTGGACTGCTAGCTGACGGGACAAGTGCTAACCTGCAGAAGCAGCATCCTGTGAACAGAGTACTGTTCAAGGATAGGCTGGACGTGCACATGGCAGGCATGTCGTGAGCGGAGCCAGCTGGTGCCGGAGGTCAGACTAGATGGCCCGGGAGGCCCCTTCTGACTCGCTCTGTTTTCTCTGTTTCTATGTTACTGTTTGGATTTTGTGTGTGGGCAGCTTTTCTAATGTTGCCTGCAGCCTGGATGGATGGGTCCCCTTTCCCCACTTCTTCCACTACATGGGCCAAACCAGGCAGGCCTTGAGGCAGCAGGTGGATGTGATGAGAGCACATGGCAACTCTTCACAGGAAGTATTCGGGTGGGCGGTGGCAGGGTGGGCTTCTTCAGAGATGCAGACCTTTTCTCACAGGCAGGAGTCCGGCTTCTGGGGTGTTGTGCCCAAGACGAATGCCCTCACTCCAAGCCTTTGGCTGAGCTGCTGTGGACTCGGAGTGGATGCAAAACCAATTGTGCAGGGAAGGGATTATGCGCTCCTGCAACAAGAGGTGTGCAGCAGGGCTGAGGACGCAGAAAGCAGAGGAGGAAAAGATGCAATGCTGCAGGGCCAGAAACTGTTCCAGTGCTGTATTTTTCTTCAGAAAATTCCCCTCAGTAACAACAACAAATGCAAGTCACAATTGTAATAAAGCACGCCGAGTCATTTCAGAGTTGTTAATTGCAGTGTTTCAGGCAATTAGCTTTCACAAGCGTGTGAGAGAATATCTCCCTGTAATACATGCATGACTCAGTGAGAAGAGGGCTAGGCATGGCAGTGCAAGTGAAGTTGCCCCAGAAACTTCAGTGAGGGGAAGTTGAACCCAGAAGAAAGGAGTGAGCAGTGGTCAGCATTTTGAACAGAGTTTTTAGGTTGCTAAAAGTAAGACCGCCTTTCCCAGCCTGCTGTTCCCCAGATCTGTTGTAGTGGAATGGCCAGAACCCCAGCCTGCCCTATAGACTGAAGGGTGCCGGGAGTTGTGTACTTGGGGGGCACAAGGTTGGGGGAAACCTGACTTAGCATGACAACCGTTTAATACCTTTGTTTCTTTCCTGCAAACAGTATACAGGACCTAGATGCTATCCATTTTTACAAATATTCTAGAAAAAGTCTATGTAATAACACTGAAATCACATTGTATGTTAATCTTATTTCCATAATATTTCCAGTCGATTGGATGTGACATACCTGGACAAAAATATGGGGACTTTCTTTTTAGTTTAGTTGTTTTAGTTAGGCAGGGCTACCTAAAAAGGCAGGATCCTGTCTTGCTACCACTGCAGGCCTTTGAGCACTGGGGTGCCTGTTAAATAGTGATTAGAACAGACTAGTCCAATTTTTAGTTGCATAGGTCTAGCCTTTTACAGAAGTGATCGTTTCTTGCAAAAAACATACAGATACAATTGAATAGTGATCTATTAATGAAATGATAGCCTTAAAACTTAGCTTGCTTCCTTCACATCTATTGGACAATAGCTCCCATTATCCCCTATGGATGGGAATGCTGAAAGTTGGTACCTTCCAGAATGTTGGGGAAAATTGAGCTGAGCATTAAAGATAAACCAGCCTTCTGCAACCCAGGCCTACCAGATGCATGGACCTCCAGCTCCCAGCATCCTTGTCAATGAGTCATGAGGTGAAGGTCGATGGGGATTGGTTCAGGGGACACCAAGTGTGAGGCCTGGCATGTCTCTAGCTGCATCTGTCAAGATGGTTGAGGTAACCCACGGAACATGGACTATCCTTCACCTTGCCTTTCTTAGGTCGGTGACACGCTCCTACTACCGCAACTCGGCCGGAGCAGTGCTGATGTTTGACCTAACCAACCGAGCGTCCTTTGAGAACATCAGGAACTGGCATCAGGAAGTCGTGGACACGGTGCAGCCTCGTCATGTAGTCTTCCTGCTGGTTGGACACAAGAGTGACCTGCAGGCAGGACGGAAGGTTGGGCAGAAGGAGGCAGAGAAACTGGCTGCTTCACTGGAGGCAAAGTACATCGAAACATCAGCTAAGAGCAACATCAATGTGGAAGAGGCTTTCCAGATGTTAACCTTAGGAATCTATGAGGCACTGAAAAGTGGGAAAATGACACCCAGTGACCAGTGGGATGGGGTGAAAAGCAAACTGCCACCCCTCGTGCCGTCTGCAGTCCAGGCAGCGGGGAATAAAACATGCTCATGTTAGGAAAAGGCGAATTATTCCGGAAACTGCAGAGCTGTTGTGTAAGAGCACCATGGTGCAGTCTCTTTCCAAATGCAGGTCAAAACCAGTGAAGACCTTTAAGGCTGGTGCATACACAGAAATTCCCTTTTCTTTATTGCTAATCTAATAAACAGGAAGAAAAGAACTCTACAAGTCTTTCCAGCTAAGAATGAAAGTGCAGATGACTGCGTGGAGGCGCAGCTGCAGTCCGGAGTCACTGGCGATTGCTGCAATGCACATCTCATGTCTGTGCCTGCCACACCTCTGGAGACGATTCTTATTTAAGGCAAGCCTGTGCCTGCTTTGTATGAAATGTCAGCACTCACCCTTTTTTAATCAATCAAAATCTTGACAGGCTCTTCCGTAGCCTCTTCTGCTCCAGAGACTTCACTTGAAACATGCAAAGAGAGCTATCAGGGCTACCAACTCTCCGAGAAGAATCTGTCAGGCCAACCCCCTAAACATGCTTGAACCTCCATCAGTGACCACCTAATTCTGTGAACATGTTGTTTGATTCAACTTCACTGGCTGACAGATGTGAGAACTGTGATACCATTAATCATCTCAGAGTTTAGGAATTCATGGGGTTGGTGTACAGAGCGGGCCAAGCTCTTCCTCAGGGCAGGCTGCGCCGTGGGAGGCTTCGTCAGGGTCTGGAGGAGCAGCAGCAGCAGCAGGCGGGAGCTGAACCCTTTGAAGGCCGTTCCAAGTTGCTTAGTGAAGTTTCTCACTGAGCAAGAAGGGTTTCTGCGAGGGGAGGGGACCCGATTGTTGACCCAGCAAGGAGGAGTTGGCGACACCAGCTGCTCAGATGGAGGGGCTCCCTTGTTCTCGCCATCTTGCTCTCCCCAAGGGTGGAGCCTTCGGCCTTCCTGAAAGGGAGGGCTAGTCAGGAAGTTTCCAGCTTAGATTCAGCTCTTTACATGAGCAGAAGCTTCTTCTTCCAGCTTTTGTAAGAGGTTAGAGCTAAACTGTTCTGTTAACTATGGAGCTCCAATAAAGAGAATTGCATTTCAAAAATTGTCTTGAATTTTGGAACTTAAGGAAGGGGATAGCTCATGACAACAGGTTGCAATCTTCCACAGAAGATCTGCTGGTAAAGGACAATGTTGTTTCAAATCAACTCTCTACCTCTGTTGTTTTAAGCATATTCCCTGTTGCTTGCGGATTTGCTGTGAATTCAGATATGTGGCCATTTCTGGTCTTGGCGAAGCAGGGAATAGGTGCAATTGCCAGAGGTCCTCTCAGGTCGGAGATCAGAAATAAAGCACAGTAGTTAAATTAGAAACATTTTGAAGATGCACGAGGTAAAGCAGCCTTCCCCAACCTGAAGCCCTTCATGTTTTGGATCGCAATTCCCAGGATTCCTGACTAGTGCCCACGTTGGCTGGGGCTGATGGGTTTTTAGTCCAAGAAATCTAGAGGGCATCATGTTGGGAAACTCCAAGGTAATGGATCAGAAGAAGCAAGGCTGGTGTTCAGTAGCAGTTGGAGGATATGTTCCTCCCATTAAGGCAAAAGGGAACATTCTGGGATGTCCCAGCAAAAAACATCATTCTTCAGAACAGAAAATAGGTTAAACAGCAGAATTTAACAACTTTATAGAAATTATCAAAAAATTGCTCTACTATTTTGGCTTTTGGCTTATTTTTCTAGTGAACCAGCAGTTACCACTAAAGTTTTTTAAACAGGATCAGGACCAATTTTTGCATATGGGGCCAGTGGTTCTAAATAGGTTTTTTTGCAGAATGACAAGCATCAAGCTAGTAAGTGGCTATAATGGTTGTTTAAAAAAAGCGTCTAAACAAAGCCTTTACTGTTATGGGTTAGTTCATGCCTATTAAGGAGAACTTCTGCCAAGTTTCTTTTATTAATTCCTAGGGCATTGGACACCCTGCAATCCTGAGCAAACATACTGCATTTGCAACCAGAAGGTATCGTAAAAACAGGGAATGGAAACTGCCATTTTGGATCCAGGCTAGATCAACAGCACGGCAAAAAGGCAGGGAGAGGCAGGCAGGCAAAGCTGGAGAATAATCAGTGGTAAGGAACTAATTGTTCTAAAATTGCAAGCTCATGCATGTACACTGGGGAGTTGACACTTCTGGACCCACATCTGAGTCAACTTGCATATGCTCAGATTGCATGACAAGCTGCTAGACTTAGAGCTGCATATATTCTGCTAAAACAAGTTTTGCGCAACAAGAAATGCTGAATTCTATAATCTGCATACATTTCTATTAAATCCCCCCATTCTGGCAGTTCTTAAGGAGATACGCAAAGCATTGTACCCTCAAATCCTTACCTCCTGGAAAATGGCCTGAGTTTTCAGCACTGCCCACATGCTTATGTTCATTTCCCAAGGAGTAGCAACTTGATCTTAAAACAAAGCAAGCTGGTATTGCCAGGATGCTCTACGTTGTATTGAATGTCACATCTTCAGACTATTCACAGGCTAAACCAGGGCACGTATCACGTTTAATTAGAGGGAGTCTTTTAAGAAATGCTTTTAACACAAATTACTCCAGATTTTAACTACAAAATGGTGTGGATGCTGCAGCCCCTAACATAGTGCTCATGAGAAAAGCAGGAGATGCTCCAGCTGGGGACGGTGCTGCTGGTGTCCAGTTGGAACTTTCTTCCCTGCTGGTGAAGGTTTTCATTTATTTATTTGGGGTATTTTTACCCTGTCCAGTACATTGCGGGTCTCTGGACGGCTTACAATAGACTAGAATGGCTGTCTCAGGCAGCACAAGAACAATTCTAATTAGATGCTATCAGCAGAAGAGATTCTAAATGGGCGCCACCAGCAGGTGGATATGGGACCTTCAATAAGGACAAGTCCGCAGTCCTGTGGTAGCCAGCTTGTGACTGCCCACTGCCATCTCTCAAAAGGGCTAAATATACTCCAGCTGTGGGGACCCTGAAGTATTGCTACTTGTTGGCAACAGTTCAGATCCTGAGTTTCAAAAGCTTCCGAATCAGTATTATATTGAGATTAGGCAAAATAAATTGAAGGATCATTTGCGTTCTGTCAATGCTCTTTGTCTTTAGCAGACCCCACTGTGTTCACAGGCCTGTATTTTGATTTGAGAGAAGCCACAAGATGGCCAGCATTGCAGCTGCATTTAACATAAAAAGGACCAGTTTTTTTGTCTGGTTGGTGCTTGGGATTAGTTATATACATATATTCTTCAAAGCAACATTTATGGAAAAGGCCTTTTTCAGGTGCTGCTGGCAATTGGGTATTGCAGGCAGGTAATCAGAAACACACAATTGAAATTAAATGGTGCCAGTATTAAATTTACTGTCCAAGTCAGGACACCATCTGAAAGGCTTGCCAGTAACAATCCAAACTGGGAGGATAACAGGCATCCAGTGGAAGGTGGGATGCCCGTGCCCTTCCTCACATGACCATACTCCCTTCTCCTTCTCACACCTGTTCCCAAAGGTTGAAAGCTTAGTTATTGTCAGTGACAGCATTAAAGATAAGAACAGGCCAGTATTTTGGGTAGTATTTGCCCCTTTAGCCAACCAATGGGGGCCTCAAGCACTTCTCTGAAATTGATTTTCAGCTCTTGGGCTGAAAGATGCTCAAGATCATGCTTTACATCATGTGAAGGCACCATGACAGTAGCCTGCAATCAGGGCAATGGGAAGGATTCAGGCTGGCTGGCTGCTGATCCAAACGCGGGATAAAAAGGAAGGGTTGTGTGCCTAAATGGGATCTTCTGCTTTAAACTGAGCATGTGGGAGAACAGAACATGCTAGGATATGCATAGCTGCTCACAAAGACAAGCATTGTGGCCCTTCTGGTCGACTGAGCCAGCTTCTAAATTAAAGCATTCTGTTATGGACGTCATCTCGGTAAAATCCATGAAATCATCTTGAAGACAGACGGTATGCCAGCATGCTTATTGTGGTAGTTTAAACTGATGTACAACTTGGACAGTGAGTGGGAATGTTGTTTAGCTCCTGCTGGATGAGTTAACGTGGCCTTCCGCAACTCGGTTCTCTCCAGATGTGTTGGATGGACCCTTCTTCTCCAAGAACTGTTGTCAACTATGGACTGTAACCAACGCATCTGAAAGGCACCAGGTTGGCAAATCTGGCCTACAGGTAAAGAACATGCATGCACACACACACACACACGCACACGTACTTAGACCTCAGATGCGTAACACCAGAGATGGAAAAAGGATGAACAATTAGGAGTGCAGTTCTATTCATCTAGCCAAGACAAACACCCTTCAATTCTCAGCATGCTTAGGGTTGCAACCTACTGGCCCAATCCTATCAGTATTTAGAGAGGCAGAACTCTTACAACTCCCAGCATTCCCCAGCCAGCCATGGTTGCTAGGGACTGCTGGGAGCTGTAGGACCTTTTGTCTGTGTAAATCTGCAAAGGCGTTGCAGCCTTAGTGGCTCTTTTATTTCAGGTCAGTGCCAGAGCAACACTGCTGCCATTGCAGCTTGTCCTCCCAAGTGTGAAGCGGGAAGAAAGGCAGTTCTTTGGTGCCTGGGGAGCTTTAGTAACAGGGAACAGGTTAAAAAAAGCCAACAGTGCAAAAGGTTTCCATAAAGCATAAAAATCACAGAGGCAGCACTCGCTTTTGCACCAATTTAATCTGATGTTTAAGTTCAAGTGAATGTATTTTACAACACTCTCTGAAGCAGATGGCTAGTGACTCTTGTGAAGAACGTTTTCCACCCAGCAACAGGAGAGATAAAGAAGTCACACATTGTGTAACCCCAGCCACTGATAGCTACCACCCCAGGGTGCTGAGGGCAGGGCTCCCCCACTCCTTAGCTATTAAGCAACAGCTGCTTGAAAAGGTCCCTCTGTATTAGGAACTGCATCAATACTTTCCAGCTGATCCACCATCCCCACAGAACTTCTTCCCTGGCCCTCGCTCCAGTGGCTTTCTATTGCATCGTTCGAGCTAAGATGGCCCACAAAACAAAAAGAATTCAACTTTTCCCTGCTACATGTTGATGGCTGAAAAGGAAAGGGAAAAAAGATGTTTGCTTTGAATGTTTCATAACTCTGGTGCCAGCCTGATGCTCTTTGCAGCTTGTGTCAATACTGTGATCAAGCTTTTAAGTCAATTTCTTCACTTGTAAAACATATCCAAATATCTATAAACAGCAACATTACAAAGAGTAAAATGGAAATGAAAAACATCTATGGCTGTTGCTAATACTGTTCCCCAAAATACCAAAATATTCTTGTCTCTCGGACAATCACTTACACCATAAATCACTTTGAAGGCAGAAAATAAAGTCTGTGTTTCAAGATACGTTGTGTTCTCGTGGAAAACTGATGCAGGGGGAAGGCAGCGGTTTGGCAGAGCTGCCCTGAAAGTAAATGTTGCTGCATTAAAATTTATGCTTCTCTGTAAAGCATTGAAAACAATCCCATAGATGACGTCATGGATGTTTTGCAGCTTAAGAGGCAGATTTTTTCCAAAAGAGCCATTTTTATTTCCCTGCTGCTCCTAGGCATTATTTCTTGGTTGTTTTACGAATCAGTGCCATCCTCTGCGGGTGAGAAAGAGAAGAGAGGGAAGGGAAGGGAAGAACAATGAATCAAGATCAGTATAAGTCTGGAACTTGGTCTCTTGGTAAGTTGCGTTAGGATGTGAATCAATGGGACCCTGGAAGGTACATCTGCAAACCTCATTACCAGAGTAACCCAAAAGCTGGAAAGCCTCAACCCATTTCAGAGTTAAACTAAGGCATACAAGATAGAAATGAACTCATGCATCAGCTTTTCAAAAGAAAAAACCCAGCAGCCATTGGGGCCTCGATCTGGATTGAGACCACAGGGCAGGGTGTGTGTGTTTTAATCCTGTTCTTGCAGTTTCCCCAACCAGGATTGCTCCCTCACTCCAAAGCTGCCATTGTTAAACCATCCCAAGACTTCAGTAATGGGATGGTCTAGGAAAGTTTTAAATAAATCAATCAATTTATCTCAGAAAGCCAGAAGTGTGCATGTTGGTTTCCTCCCAGGGCAAACAGCAACTCTGCGGGGAGGCAGCCAGGGCAGGCCCTGCCATTAAACAGAGTGACCTGGTTCCTATGACACAATTTTCCAGCCAGGGCGTGGATATGGTCCGTGCTGTGCTGGAGGGCACAGCGCTGTGTGAGCCAGCCCACTTTCCCCAGAGTGCACATGGTATGACATTTCCATACAGGCCTTAAGGAGTTTATAGACAGAACTTTAAACAGGCTTTCACAATGAATGGTATAATCTCACAATGGCCTTAAAAAAACCCCATATGATACATGGTTTGATGCTTTTTTAATTAATTAATTTGGGTTCTTTTGCTAACTGAATAATTTTGTGGGTCTTGCAATTTTATTATTTCTCTTTTTAACATATGCACACCGAACAGGTGGCCAACTATGGAATTCTTAAGTGGCAGGGGATACTCCTTGTTCTGAACTAAACACTTGAAAAATGGGTCTTTAAACTGGCAGTTTCCTCAATGTATGGATCTGGATTTAAAAGCTTCTGCCACAAGGGAGTATGTATATTAAAGGGCAGAAGTCATTAATCACTTGTGACTAGTAGCTCTGTCAAGAAACTTTAATAGAAATCAGAATGGAAAATTGCTTCAAATCAGCTTGGTCCATTTAGCCAAAATGATTGCAATTAGAAATATCGATCACAAACGCTTTATTTTAATGGTATTGCATTCTGTTGTTAGACTGTGATTTTGTTTGTTTCAATACTTGTAAGCCATCCAGAGAATGTATAGGGCAACCTGTAAGTTATATCTATATCTATCTAAAAAACTGAATATGGTGTATGTATTGAGACATTCTGAACTTATTCAGGCAAGGGTAAAAGGTTAGCTAGAAGCGCATAAATTGCTATAATTTCTTGCAAACACCTGTTTCAGGAAACCTTGAATTTGATGAGCTAGCAAATCCTTGTTTTTCATTTGGGGCACTCGTTGGCCATTTTTTAAAGTTATGTGAAGCCGCCACCTCTATCTTTTACAGAACATCTTTTTCTTAGGCAAGATTGTTACTATGTAGAAAGGGTCGCATACCTGTTTGTGAGCTTCTGTAGTGCAGGCTTTTTTATAAGGCCTGATTTCTTCAGAACCAAACCCTGGGATCCACATATTCCACTGACGTTCTGTAGCAAAGAACAGGGTATGTAGAGTAGGGAAGGACCAAAAAAGCAGGAGTAAACAGACAAAGAGTTAAGTAAGCAGTGAATGCATAAGACATATTTCAAGTTTCAGGTATGTGGAAAGGAATAAGCAAAGTGCCTCTTGGTACCTGGCTTATAAGAACTGTATCAAAGTGAGAAACAGAGAAAAGATCTGGTCTCTGCAGGTGCTTCCTACATTTCAGAGGTTTTCCCTTTGCATTATAACAAAAGTCATAAGAAATCCATGTTTAAGACTGCCATCCAGTCTTCAACAAATAGGTCGCTAACATGAAAGCATGAGAAAGATGAGTGTTCTTTGTTTCAGCTGCAGTGTAGAAACTGCTTTTCTGCAGCTTCAGCCCACAGCACTGTTACAAAATTTAAAGACCTGGTACCACGTGGATTGGGACCGATCTTGTAGATTCCTCCCGGCGGACCACTGTCCAGCTGGGTCACACAGCAGCAGCAGCAGACAAATGCTACCCGCAGCAGCGTTCACGAGACAAATGCAACTCACACGCTAGTGCTTACCAAGATGCAACTGGACATCTTTCACTTCTAATGTGTTGGACTTGCGATGCCGTGCAAGCTGGCAGGCAGCCGTCACCACACTTTCAATGAAGTCGTCGGCAATCTGCAGCAGCGTCTGTCAGAAACAGGGAAGCACCAGCCACGTTTGTGGGGGGTTTCAGCATCAGATACAAAGGCAAATGGAACAACCATTACCTTCATAAGTCACTCGTGAGTCTAATGAAGCTGAGACACTGCCAGACCATCCTCAGGAACACCTCAGTGATTTCTCACCATGAAAACCATCATCTTGTGTATCCCATCGGATCAGAACCAACCAATGGCACAGTTCAGAGAAGGGCAGCTCAGGCAAATTCCTAGGCATCTGAGGATACTTGGACTTGGGAACGCCAAAATGAAAGAAGAGCCCAACTGGATCAGACTAAGGCCTCTAGTCCAGCATTCTAGTCATGCAGCAGCTGGCCAGCTGTCCGTTGGAACCAATCAAGCAGGACATGAGTGCACCTGCATTCTCTAGCCCATGTTCCCCAGCAACCGCTGTACTACCTCTGCTGCTGGAGGGAGCATGTCCCTATCCGGGCTAGCCATTCCTAACCTTCACCTCCCTGAATTTGCCCTACCCCCCTTTATAGCCATGCAGATGGGTGGCCATCACTACACCGTGTGGAAGGAAATCCCATAGCTGAAGTACGACTTATGCCCTGTGTAAAGATTAGAGATGCGCACAGCAAATTTTCCGAAGACCCACCTCTTCCACGTCCTCATCCAGTTGCTCATTTGGATCTACCTCTCTGACAAGATCCTGCAACTTCTTCTTGGTTAGGATCTGTGGGAGGGGGGCACGAGTGGGTGGGAAGAGACCAACATCAGCATGAATGTATCAATTACATGACTGTGCTGCATGCCACAAGCACCGCAAAAGGGCACAACTTATGTATGAGCAAGTGACAAGGCGCTCATAAGGTCAGCACTGAAAGGCATTCTCTTGTTCAAGAGGAGAAATGCATTTGCTTTATTCGAAATCTTATTTGCAGTGGCCTGTGCAAGGAGAGTCTCTTCAGTAAAGCAGCGATGTATGCACAGTCAGAAAACAGGCATTCTGGTTCAAGGGCAGCAACACTTGCTGTATGACAGACCCCAAATCAGAGCCCTGGGAGATAGCCCTTCCTCCACCACGAAACGCATCCCCCAGTTCCTGCAGCTGGCAGCCCTGGGTGATTGCTCCTTTGAGGAATATTAAGTCGAGATCCTCACGTCAATGGAATTATATCTGAGAGTGCAAGGATCAGACTAGGGGACCACAGATACCACTCGGTGTCATGATGGAAATTACCCAGACACAACTAGAGAGTTCGATCTTTTACATATTTCTTGAGCCAGATTACAGGAAGCAGTTCTTAAATAAATCTTTCTCTGCAATGTTCTAGCTGGCAGAATATGCTGACAGGATTTACTCACAAATATTCTAAGTAGAAAGTGTTATTCTACTTAGTATTTTCCTGTAAAACACTGGCCATTTGCTGACAAAGCATTTTTGAATACAGCAGATCAATTAATGCAGCCTGAGGCCATGCTTTACTACTCCTGGACAAAGGATCAGTTGATAACACAGCCAGGCTTTTAAAGTAAAGAAAGGTTTTGTTTGATGTAATCCTTTCTCACATGCTAACACCTTAAGTCAAAAGGGAGGTGAAGATCAGGAGAAAAGGTGAGTTCCCCAGTTGCTTCTACTGCAGGTCTATCCAGCAACCAACCAGATACAAACATTTGTCAGGGGAAGGTTGATGAATGTCACACTGTTCTGCCACCCACATTCTTGTACTTAAGGTGCATGGAAAATGATGCACTAAGGGGAGTCAGTGGCCTATTCTGCCCATTCTCCAGACTGACAAGTAGTGGATCCAGGGAAGGAATGCAGATCGAAAACATTCACCCCTTACAGCTGTTAATGCTACAGAGAGAAACTCCAGGTTTTGGATGCTTTCTTTAAACCAAAGAATAATACTTTATACTTCATGATTCAATAGAGATTCTAAGTCCCATACAAAATGTTTGCAACCCAAATGCTCAGCCAAGACATAAATGGGTGTCTGCACACAGAGAGAATTATGGCAATAAGCAATGAGCCTACTTAAAGGTAGCTAAATTTATTTTTCAGCCCCCACTCCTCAAAGTGGAGTTACCTGGTTGCTTTCAGGGCTGAGGCGTCCCCCACTGCTAGGGGTCCCTGGCATTTTTGTCACAGTGGTATTGTTTGCCATGGAGCTCTGTGGAGGAGTACTGGCTGGCTCTGGTTTGATTGAAGAGAAGTTGGATAAATTGATCAAGGTAGATGGACCAAATTGGTTCATAATCTGTTGAGCTTTAGCCTTCAAGTCATAGAGCTTATCAAGATCTTGCTTCTTTTTCGGATTATGTGGGCCCAAACCAATCAGCTGAGGGAAGAAGTAAACCCCAATGTTAGCACAATAAGGAAGGAGATACAGGTTTAGATTTTCTTTAATATTACCTATTCTAGAACAATCACCAGCAGGTTGAACCCCAGATACGGAACATCTTTCAGTGTGCTTTTGGAGAAAGAAGTCTTCACCAACCACTGGAAAAAACTTTTAACTTACCGTATCACTTATGTCACTTCATGGACAGGTAGAGGCAAGCTTTTCAAATCCTGCTTTCTGCAAATACTTTAGTACAGGTGTAGGAAACATACAGCCCTCTAGACATTGTTAGACTGCAACTGCTATTATCGTTTACCTTTGGCTATGCTGGCTAGCGCTGATGGAAGTTCTCTGCAAGGCTACAAGGTACCTTGTGGAATAGTAGCGGAGTTGGAAGGGGCCTCCAAGGCCATCGATCCAAGTCCAGCTCTGCGTCCACATTTGGTCACCCATTCACCTAGCATTCCAACCCAGCAAATGTGACTCGACACTCAGCTCTTGGTTCCAAAATCCATGGCAAAAAGTACTCACCTTCCTCCTCCTAGATTTGGACACTGGTTTTCCTAGATCATGATGGCTCTTATGGAACTAAGTTGTATTTCATTATATACTGTGCTGCATTCGCTAAGTCACTCATTAACATTTCATGTTCCCATTCTTAATCAACTGTTTGCATTTGTTATCCAGTTGCATAGAAGGGTGTTTCTCCTTTGTGCTCCCCAAAACCCCCCTCCAAAAAGAATAATTTTTCCCCAATAGTTCTTACACATTCAATGGATAATATGGAGCTTCACAAAGTCATTTCAAAATCTTTCTCTATCCACTCAAAGGATGTTATAATCCTTCTAGCAGGCCACTGCTAGAAGCTTGTTACCAACCAAATCAATCCATCAGTGAAATGTTATGAGGACAGAATCCTGTGCCTGACACTGTTAAGGCATGTAAACATTCAGGTTCCAGGGCTTCTGTACATCCTATGCTTGGAATAAGGTGTGGCAGCAGGGAATGGGATGACGGTGGCAGCCTTTGCTACACTGAGTTTTTTTCTCTAGACGGTGGTTCTCAGCTATCTAGATTTACTGCCAGGAAGCAAGAGGAAAAGAGGCTGAGATGTGATTTAAACTGGCATGATCTGCAACCCCAACCTCCTCCCTTCCCTGTCTCCTGCCCCACCCCCTATTTCCCCAGCTGTGACCTGGGGGAGGCAGCCACTGCAATTCCTTCAGTGCTGCCTCTGAGGGGGGAACAGTTGGGGCTTGATCTTCAGCTTTCCCAGGTTTGAAGTCTGAATACCAAGTTCACAGAAATTGCATTTCTGTTTTCTCAGTCTCAATTTCCAGTGGTTCACATGGCATTTAATACTCTAATTCCACTTATGTTAATGTCAGTCTTCCTTAAAATTCTGTCTAACACACCCATGACATCTCATCAAGACCCAAACCATGCTGAGCACACACTACTTGAGCAGTGAGGTAAATATGAGATTACGCTCTTTAAAAAATGCAAGTTCTCTGTTAGTGCTTCTCAACGCAAGAACACTGCGAAGGGTTAGCCTTTCATTCAGCCCGAGTAGCTCATGCACCATCCTACTCAATGCATTGCGGCATCAAGACAATCATGAAACTGAACACAGACTGGGGACGGAGGGGGAGCCATCATCCAGACCCAGAATGGCTTTCAAACTGAACTAAACTTATAAACTGATAAAACTGAGAGGCAGAGGAGGATTATGTAAGCAGCCTTGAGTTGCGTGAAAGGAAAAGCAGCAGGATAGAAGTACAAGAAATTGATGCTTGATCTGGTGCTACAGCGGGTTTGCCCTCAAAAGCAACCCACTCTGAGGGAGAGAGAGGGTGTGTCTGGGCAAGGCAATGTTACAGGGCTTCCTCTGATATTACAAATAACACTGCATTGCCAACAGAAGCAGGCTGTGGTTATAGATGGCAACTGCTACCCCAGCAATTCATGTGAACAGGCAGGGGACTCTGGCTAAGGGCAACTGCAGCTACTCTGCAGAAAACCTCCAGACCTGGTTTGTCCCGCTTGGGTTAGCACAGCATCTTGTCTTGTTCATTTCAACAGGAGTCTGGATATAGCCCACCGTATGCACACTTCACAGGAGTTTCCTTTACAAGTGAGAAGGTGCAAATAAAGTCCCAACTAACATAAGATTTGGGAGGCTCAATTTGGCATTAACCAAAGCGATTCTTCTACTGTCCTAGTTGCAGAAAAATCTTAACCATTTTGCTCCTGTTGTCCATCATTCCCTCCTATTTGTCCCGTCCTCTGTCATTCTTCCCATTTCTTTTATTCCTCTGTCTCTAATCTTGACAGTCTTCTTTCCTATAGCCAGTAGTTTTCTACTGTAGTCCTTTACGTGTCAAGGGCTATTCTATTTCTGCGCTACTCCATCCATTTTTGTGCACTTGCTAATGGAACCTCCTTCATCTCACATACCCACTTTTCCCCTACCCTCATAATATCCCATATAATCTAAGCAGGCAAACATAAATATGAGCACTCAAGGCTTCCTGCAGGGACAGTACCTAGCTATTTGTTCTGTGTACAGTGCTTGTGACTGTCTTATAACCAGCTGAAGAATATATTACAGCAGGAGCCATTAGCAAACTGGTGGACATTCTGACTCATCTCTGTACAGAGGAACAGTGCTATCAGGAATAAGGTGCTAGAAAGCAAGGAAGATGATGCTTCCCACTGAAGATGGGCTTGCAGTAACTCTGAAAAATGATTCCAGGACTCAGCCTTACCAATCCTCATCCTGAGGACTGCATTCTTCTGTCAGCCACAGAAGCCAGGTGACTTTTTGCAGAATCGGCTTTATTACCACCACCACACTTCAGTCTTGTTACATGATCAAACTGAACAAGACACAAGCCAGTCTGCACCTTCTCACCATGAAGCCAGCATGCCATCTCAAGGTGAGTTCAAGCCAACTTACTTACAGCTATCTGAGTGTCTAGCTCTTTAATTACATCAGAAACTGCTGTGGGACCATTGAATGGAGAGGCCATTTTCCAAAAACCGTTCCTGCAAGTAAACAGTCAGGGTTAACCTACGTACCTGCTCTTTCCCCATTGCGAATGCTTGTAAACCACTCCCTAAAGTATTCTGCAGAATTGCCTCCACACAGGAAGATTAGATTAGCTTCCCTCCCTCTGGTGCCCTCCAAATGCGTTGGACTATGATGAGGTTGTAATTCAACACATTGACCAGACTGAGGAACGTTGGATTACAAGATCTGACAAACAGCAAACCAAGACACTCTTTTCTGCTTCGAACTGCCACATGTGAGCAGTACTCAATGTACGATGGTGACAGGGAGAATTAGGAGGTTGCTATTGTACATACTTGCCTCAAGAGAACATTCTCCCACCAAAGCTTTGCCCATTACCAGGTGTGTTCATATGCACCAACATAGCATTCTAGGTGTATTTCTGCACTGATGTAAAACCTCTGCTAGCAACTTGAACTCTGCACATTATGCTGCTTGCTTTCAGTGACGCCTTGTTAATCCTATGCATGTTTAGGCAGAAGAAAATCCTACAGCTCTCTGCATTCCCCAGGCAGCCAGACTGGCTGGGGCAAGCTGGGGGTTGTAGGACCTATGCCTAGGTAAACATGCAGAAGACAACCCCTACTGGAACAATCCAACAACCCTTGCATCCAGCACTGAAGCAAGATGGGGGAGTTTTCAGTTGTCTACATAAAGCACTGAGGAGGACGAGAGAGAGGAAGGAAGGAAGCTGGCACACCAAAAAGAACTGAAAGACAGAGATGCCCCCAGCCGCCTCCTCTCACCCTGGAAGGCGCATTTTATCCCTCTCCAAGGGCAATGTGTGCTCTCAGAGAAGCACCCAGCACAGTTCTTCCCACCCTGGCTATGAGAATGATAGGCAGGGACTTGGCTGTTGGAGTTGCAGGATCTTGGCACAAAGAGTTCCATGGCTCCCACACTATGCTGGGAGATCGTAGGATCATGCTTTAAGTGTGTTAACTACAAATGGGAGAGTAACCTCAATTAGAAACTTTCAAGGTGGTAAGTTTCTATTCTCTCAGTTTCCCTGGAACTCTATCTGCAATGCCAGCATTCTCTATAAGATTCTAAAGAATTACCAAGAATATATGACAGCTCTTTGATAATAGTGTGTATTTTATTTATAAAAAGGTGGGGAAAGGAACAGGTGATCAAATGGTGGGGTGAGACTAAAAAAGTGGGCACTTTTTTGTAACATGTTGCCAATAATGAAAGTACTCTGAATGATAAGCATTGTTACTAGTTTTTGCAGTAAACACTATTTTAAAAAAATTACAAGGGCAGCTGTTCCTGCCTAAAAACTGCAAAAGAAACACCGGCCCATGACATGAGAAGAAGAATCTGGAGGTGAAATCTGGAAAAAAACAGTGGAGTTCACATTATGTATTTTCAAATCTTTCTAAGTTGTCATGTATATAATTTTTAAATATATCACGATAAATACGGCATGCCATTAATGTAAGTCTAGCTCCTCTTCGCCCTATCGGAAGGCTTCCTCATCCCAAGCCCCGGCTTATTCTTAGGCAGAGCTTTGTTACAACAGCTTCTCAGCAAATTACCTGCCATAGTTCAGGTCCAAGGGACTCACGAAACAAGATAAAATCAGCTTTACTGCCACTGGTTCTTTACCTTATTGGTCGGTGTCATTCCGTATTTTCTCACTGCTTTTAAAGTATTATACATCACTATTATTACTAGCCTTGCACTGCAGATGAGTGCATATAAACACGAAGTGGCAGTCCCACGCACTTTGCTAACCACCCAAAAGTGCTCGATCAAAGCAAAAGCGGGAGATAAAATACGAGTGTTGTAAGACAAAATAAACTAGAACTAAGATGTGACAAGCGTCCGGAGGCCTGTTGCCGGCCAGAAACGAGAAAGAAAAAGGGACACACACAGATTTTAGCTAGACGGCGCGCCACGCAGACAGCCCCGTCTCCTCTTCGCCCGGTCCGAGGCTCCAGCAGCGGGCGTCCCGTCCTGGGTGGCGACCGCCCGGCCATCCCGGCCCCATGCCCTCCGCCGCCAACTTGGACCACCGACTGACTCACCGGCGCTCCGGCCGCCTATCCTGCCATGTCCTCCGCGCTGCCTCCGACTGGCTGCCGCCTCTCCCCTGACTGGCTCCCCGCGCTGCAGCACTTCCGGGGTCACGACCCTGGGACGACAACAGGGCCAGGAAATGCACGCGCCGGCTCACGCGCCCGCCGCCACAGAGCCGACCAATCACGCTGCCTCCCCCCCCCAAACTTTCGTGCGTCGCTTGGTCTCGAATGCGCAAGCGCAGAGTCGCGTCGCTGCTGCAACTCTTTGGGAGTAAAGCAAGTTTAAGCACGTGCGCGCTCTCTTAAATCGGCTCAAACTGTCCTGTGCAGGCGCAATATGCCTGAAGCTGAAGGCGCGCTTAACTGGGATTTAAAGCACATTTGCAGAGTTATTTACTAATCCCCAAACGATCGAGCCAAACCGCTGCCGTCCAGATGGGCAACAGACTCCAACTCCTATCAGATACAGACGTGTGATTAATGGTCGTAGATCATGGGAGTGGTAGTCCAGGATTTGGGAGGAATCTTGCATTGCGTTTTCTTGAAGATGGATGAAAAAAGGCAACTGGGAAACAGCTTAACTATGATCCTCTTGAGCCCATGTGGTGTATTCAGTCCCCTACATCTTTAGACAGAAAAAGGGAATAATGCTGAGTGTTGTAGGGGTTTTTTCCTCTCTCTAAACATGTACCCAAAGAATTACTCAACAGACTCCAGTTTACTTCTGTCTATTCCTTGCGGGCAAGACTTCACAACTAACAACAACAAATTCCTTGCTGTCTGGTTCTCACTTTCAGGGGCTGCTCAAAATGAAGGCTATAATTGTAGGTACACCTAACTTGTGCAAGCCCCCATTCTGCCCAGTGAGACTTACTCCCGAGTAAGGAGGCAGAAAAGCTCGCTCTGCCAAACGACGATTTTTCCCTTGCACCAGCTAGAACATGCATCCCAGCATGCTCATGCATCCATGCAGGTGTTCTCTGAAACTGAGCAGAGCCAGCAAACTGCCAAATTGTAACAGCTCAACTGCACATGCTCCGGCCCCCCCATTGCACGCATATAGAGCGGGAATATGGAGCTGGAAACAGAAGAGGGCAGGAGAGAGAGACGAAGACGCTAAAAAAGGATTGAAGGTAAGAAAAATATAACTTTTTAAATCCATTTTTTAAAGTATGTGGGCTACGTCCCGGGCTCCGGAACAAACCTTAAAAAGTTTGAGGATCCTTGAGCTAGAATAATAAAGCGCAATTCTTTGCAAGTTTATACAGGAGCTTGCTAGGGCATGCTGGGAGTTGTAGGCCTTTCCCACCCCCGTCCCGGTCTAAACTTGCATACTGTTGCAATTCCCAGTACTTTCTTAAAGTGTAATCCTTTACATATCTACTCAGAAAAAAGAACCCTTGAGTTCAACGCGTCTTACTCCCAGGGAAGCGTGTTTAGGATCCTAGCCTTGGTGATGCTTAAGGACAGACCGCGCCTCTCACGTTCACTCCCTCCCTTCTTTTCGCTGAAAACTTCGCCTTCTACCCAGAATGCTGTGAGGTTAATTTACATATCGGCTTAGGAGGGAGAAATGTTATCATCCGTCATTAGAACCTCCGCTGGATGTGTGGAAAACAACATTAAAGCATATTTGAAGGTGCTGTGACTTTAGATTTATTCGACATTTTGCGTGCAACACTAAAGGTCTTTCACTCTGAGCTACAAAGGCTTCGAAGGCAGTTTAGCGCGACGTTCGCGGTTGGAACGGTTAAAAAGGGCTTCTGCTGTGAGTAGCACATAGAAGAGGTGGCTGCGTCTTTACCTTTTTCTGTGCGGAATCGCTATCAAGAGATTTCGGAAGCATAATTTTTGTGCTGGGGGTAGCTGGTAATCGCTTGTTCTGGCTCCCCATTTACAATTGTGAAAACAGAATATTTAAGACGTTTTATTAACTCCGTCATATTACCCCGGGGAAAATTCGTTCAAAAGCCACAATTATGCTATGGAATTTGTTTATGCGTACGTTTGAACTGTTCGTGAAATGGAACTTTTGCAATGCCGTATATGTGTTTGTGCGAAGGGCTGTTGGGGGTAGTACTTTGGCGACCCTGATGTGTGAGCGATTGTTTTCCGATGAAAACTTGCAGTATTACTGGCAACCAATCGAAAGTGTCATTATATATGGGTGTGAAAGCTCAACAGTGGAGAAAGCTGAGGGAGAAAATGGATCCGTTCAAACCATGATATTTGGAGTGCTTTTGCATATACCCTGGACTGACAGGGAGATGAATGGGGGGGGTCACGGGAAGGTGTCTAGATCAGTTCAAGCCAGAACATTCCGGAGACACAAACATGGTAAAGTTAAAGCTGCCATATTTTGGGTACATCATGAGAAGGCAAGACCGTGTGATTGGGATGGCTGTGTGTTCTTTTTGATAGAGGGCCGTTCTCCTTGTCCAATTTTGCTTTAAAGATTAAGAACAGAGCAGCTGTTGGCCATCCACACACAGCACCTGGACGGCAGGCTGAACAGACAAGTCTTCCACCCTGTGAGGAGCTTTACCGTATTTCCATTTAAATACTAATAATAATTATAAATGTGCATCCACCGCCCTCTCTTTTGGCAGTTCCTAAATGCCCGCTTTCACTACGTCAGAGGCATCGCAGGGCCTGAAGCAGTCACTGCCTGCATCCCAGCTGTGTGCCCCTTCCCATTTCCGCGTGAGGGGTGCGTGCAGAGAACCCCAAACTGAGCAGGCAAGAGCTGGCTCATGCTGGAGCGTCTGGGCCAATGCCAGTTCTGTACAGCTCTTCTGCGAGTTCTCCCTGCTTCTGCAGGACCCTTTTCATGACCCTCCCCTATCAAAACGAGGGGAGTATCGTTAAATCCACGATGCATTCAGGCACTCCAGCTCTCCTAACAAGCATGGCACTGATGCAGAGCGTGCAGAAGTGTCTTGCCCCCGTCTCTGCCTCTCTTACTGTAACATCCCTGTAACCAAACAAGAACCAAACGAATGTGGTGGCACCTTAAAGGCTGATATACTGATTATGATGTAAAGTGTCGGTAGACTGGGGAGCATCTTTAATATGCCATATTAAAGGTGCTGTTAGATTTTCTGTTGCTTCTTGCTGCCGCAGATGAGGCAAGGGGACTCCTCACTGCACCAAAACATCTCTGGGAGCCGTTTTCGCTGCAGCGATTGCGCCCTTATTCTTTGGGACCCACAAACTGTCTATGTGAAGAACCCTTTTACTTGGCATAGCAGAGAAACCTTTTGACTCTTCACAAGCTGGGAATGTTGTTCAGGCAATGAATGAAGTAAAGGAAGGAGAAGCAAAGAAGAAGAAAAAGTGGATTTGTCAGCAATAGAGGGAAAGAGGAAGAAAGCACAAACACTTGGTTTGGTTTACAAAATGTTTTCAAGTTTTTAATAAAGGAATGTCGGCTGAAGGGGAATACTAAGATCCCCTTGTTGAGGCCTGGCTCTTTCATTTCATGTAGAAAACTCATGACAAAATATATTATACTTTGTGGTTAATAAAAATAATCATAATGGCAATGTAAAGAAATCAGACTATATACAGGTTTCCCCAACCTGTTGCCCTCCAGACACACTGGGCTGCAAGTCCCATGATCCCCAGCCAGCATGAGTTTGCCAGAGGGGATTACCTTGCAGAAGGCTGATAGACACACAGAAATCACACCTGCCCATTTCTCCAAGTTCAAGTGAAGACGGTCCAGAGATATTTGTGAAACTACAGGGTGGGGGACATCATGGTCAAAACCTCCCGACATTGAAGACTCCCCACAAAATGAACCATGTCCTTTCTCTTGGCAGGAGAAGCAGCAGCGTGCTTTCGGGGGAGGGACCCCCATCAGGAGCCAAGCACCTGAATTGCATAGAGGGGGTCCCAGCGTTGCCTCTGCAGTTTGAAAAGGGCCAGGGAGCAGGGGATGGATGGGAAGACCCTGGAGAGCCACCGCGGCCTGGGGCAGGCAACGCTGGGCTAGCCGGAGAGCTGGGCTTGGCCTAGGGCAGCGGCCGTGCCCTCTGCTTGAGCCTCCTCTGCGCAGGCCCACCCTCCCGAGCAGCCCGGGCACGCGGCCTCTCTCCGCAAGGCTCACAAGGGTTCGTGATAGACATGTGCACGAGGGCAGTCCCCACGCTGGACGGCGTGACCCCGCGGTGAGGTAGCCGGTGGGCCAGCCGGGGGTCCATTCCTCTGGCTCAGAGTGCAGCTGTCCTGAGAGGCCGTGTCGCCGGGCCCACGCGCTTGGGCAGAGTCTTCCCGAGGACTGAGGGCCTCATCCGGGCCACCCGCCGGCTTTGCGGGCAGCCGCGCAGCTGGGAAGTCATAGTGCAGCTGGGCCTCCGATGGTGCAGGCGGGACAAGGCCCTGGGCGGAGGGGGTCCCTCGGACGAGGCAGAGGCTCTTCCGGCCGGGCCCTCCGGCCAGCTCCGCGGGCTGCTCGAGGAAGGGGGTGGCGTACTCGGGCTCCTGCAGCAGCGGCTCGGCGTATTCGTGGTGCTGGCCTGGCACGTCGTAGTGGCTCACCACCAGAGGGAGCGTGTAGCCTTCATCCAGGGCGGGCTTGAAGGTGGACGCGGCGACCGGGCTGCCGGGGCTGACCTGAACCACGTCTGGCTCTGCGTATTCTGCAAAAGGGGGGGGTGAGGAAGACCCCAGAAAATGATGCTACCATTTCCGGAGGGGCAGCATGGTCAGACTGGGCTGGGCGAAAACGGCAAGGACTGTCGTGGCACCCTGACGGCTAAGGAGAGCCCCGCGAGCTGGGGAGGAATGCACATCGTGCCAAGGGAACCAGTGGGCTCTCACTCAAATAATTTAGCTGGCACTCCTGACAAAGTCCCAGGGGCTGCTGGAAGCTGCAGGACATTTTCTGTCTACACGTCCATGGGATCGCACCTCTACACGGCACGTGAGACATTCACAACAAAAGGTCCCTATTGGGCAATAAAAACTGAACCAAGCTCAACGTACAAAAGATGTCAAAAGACAGGGAAAATATCCTCCTGTTACAAAAGTTCAGTTCCAAGTTCCAAGAGCAATCCAAACTCTGCATTATAAGGCAGTGGGGGGGGGGGGTGCTGATACTGGTCAGGAAGCTTCAGCTGGCCCAGAATAAGGCAGTGAGGTTATTAGTGGAGGCTGACAGGAACACGTGCTATCGTGGGCTGCAGTCCATCTCCACTCTGGCTGTACACAAACCCACTTTTAATAAAAACCGGCCACACGCTGATCCTGCCAGAGGTTCCTTTTCTCGGCCTGGACCCTCCACATGCCTGCATCTACTCAGATTGTTCTATCAGGCTTTGTGAGCGAGGGGCAGAAGGTCAGGCTTGGCTGGGTTGAGGCGAACATTCCCCCAGAGCCCCCCACTTCCTGCTTCCCCGGGGCCAGTGACTGCAGAAGGCAGATGTTTGCCGATCGCCTCCAGCCACCCCCACCCCCAGTGGGTCTCCTCAGCCTCATGGAAGTGGCAGGCAGGATGGACGTCCATGGATGGCGTGTCAGGGCCAAGCTGCTCTTCCTGGGAGCACAACAAAGGGCCATCTAGCCTCGCGAGTGCTGCTTCCGGACAATCAGCTGCACTGGACTCAGGCTAAGTTACGTGCAAAAAAATCCAGGCCGTTAGAAGGATCCCTCTGTCTGCAACATTCAGAAGGAACAAGCTGGCCATTCAGGGAGGACGCACGGGGCTTGCTACCGCCCCTCCTCCACCCACAACCACCTCTGTATCCTGGGGAAGCAGAGGGCAAAAGTGGGCGGGCGGGCAGAGGTCCCCGCGGCTTCTCTTCAGGCACTTTGCTCTTACATCCTGGGCCGGTTCACACGATCAGCACAGTCCACCGTGGCTTAGTCACATCATGGTGGGTCAAGGTATGTGCTGGGGTCATGCAGCTCGTGAAGGGTGGCCTGCCAGGGAGTGTTGGAAGGGGAAAGAACCCTCAGATAACCTGTGGTCCGCTGTAGGGTTACCTGTGGGCTGTCTCCCTCTCCAGCAACTGCTGCCCATGGCTGGGTTTGGGGGAGAGGACAAACCGTGGCAGCCCCCTGCTGAGACCGAATATGCAGAATCGCTGTGGGCGCACATACCAACTGGTCCACCCACCCCACTTCTGCGGGGGTTAGAGAGTCCAGAGGTACTGCACATACCCAGCTTGGGTTTTCTGGGTAACGCTGCCAGGCTTCGGCCTCTGCATCCCTCCCAGCCTCGTGTGAAACCTGCAGCCACAGCCTCTTCCTCTCACCCCCAGCTGACATCATCCTTAGCCGGCACTGTGTGTGTGTGCAAGTGTGTGGGGCGGAAATATCTTGCAGGGGCTTCCTAGCATTCGGGTCATACAGCAGGAATGTAGTCTAGCCACTATCTTCTCTGGGGACAGAGATTTTGGCCTGTGTACGGGGTTTAATATTCTGCGAGACTCGATGGCAGGTTATTCTTTAATCCTGAAAGAGATCTAGTAGGCCTGGTGGCTGGACAACGATGTCTGTGTGATCTGGAGCTGTTTTATAGAAGATGCAAATTAAAATAAGGGCAAACAAAACACCAACAGAACAGGACAATTTGTGGAGGGGGTTTCGGGCTGAAAGAAATACTAGCAATGTGGGGCGTTGGATCTTCAAATAAGAAATTTGCTCAGTGAAATACAGACGGACCTCACTGTGCATCGAATCCAAGGTTGGATTTGTTATTGTTTATATATTTTTATAAGTTTAAACAAGAAAAAGCTTTTTAAAACTGCAACGTACCTGGAGATTGAACTCTGCTCAGATCTACCGGTGTTCCTGCCCTAGGGAATGAAGCCATGTCAGAGGTGGACAGTGGCACTGTACTTCGGGAATAGACCTGGCTCATTTCAGGGGCTGTGCAACCTTGTGGAGAAGAAACAGAAAACTTATCCGTTCAAAACTGAACTTTTATCAGTTCAGAGAGAGACTGGAATGATTCAGCAGAGGCTGTCTTTTTTTTCCAGCGCTCACATGGTTTGGGGCTTCTGTTAATCTGCTCTGCTCATTATAGCCCAGCCTTTTGTAGCCCAAGCAACACCATCCATGTGCAACACGGAGGGATCATGCTGCAGATGGAGAAGCCCCAGGTTGTGGAAATACAAAAACAAAGGTAGAGGGGGAATCCCACTAGGGAGGGAAGGCCCACAGAAACGACTTAGGGGGCTCCAGAAAAATCAAGGGAGGGGAAGACATATTCTGAAAGAAAGCACAGCAGGCCGATCAGCGCAGAGTCCTGAACGGGGTGCCACACACTGCAGCACTTCGTTGCAGTAGCCTTTGTAAGTTCGTAACTGGCTTCTTCCAATGACATGAGGAAGGAGAGTTTGCCACCACAGACATAGCAAGATATCAGGAACACTGAGAAAGGCCATCAGTGTTAAAAGCAGGATGTGACCTGAAAGACTCAGGATGAGGGACTGCATGCGCTGTGTGTGTGTGTGTGTGTGTGTGTGTGTGTAAAACATTAGCTGCCACGCAGGGTTGCTGTGATGCACAAATATCCTTGTAAATGAAACTTTCAAGGAGAACATCAAACATGCATATTCAAAAGCGATGCCCCCCGCGCCCCCGCCCCGCCCCCCGTTCACAACAAAGCAGAAGAATGCCCACCTTTCAGGCCACTGCTGTCTTGCTCTGCTGTCTTCCTACCAAAGGGAGCAAACAGAAAAGCCATCAAGTGGGTTCAGCATCGGTTTCTGCATCTGGTATTAGAATCTCTGCATGGCCCAAGAGCACTCTTCAGCTTGGCGGTGTGTTCTGCTTAGCGGAAGACTGTCTTGTTTGGAGGGCTCTTAGAGGACAGTCCTCTGCCTGGAGTCCACAGCTCTAAGGACCATCATGGGCTGCTCCTCCATTAAGACACCCAAAGGGCTGCCCAGTAGGAGTAAAGTTGAAGAACTGTAGGAAGGGAAGGCTGGCTGTCCATCCCTGGTCAGCACCTGGGCAGAAGACTGAACAGTTGGCACACCTGTCACCTGGTTACAGTCTTTCCTACTTTGATGAGATTGATTACATAATAGCAATTATTTTGAAGTTTGCCTGTCCCCGTAGAAATGAGCTGGTAACAGGTTTATGCAAATCACTGCCTCCCCGGGCTTCTGTTTTGTTGGTGCGTTTCCTCTCTTGGGCTGATCCACAGACGGCCATCTTAGCATGGTTTGGCTGGCCATTCTCAACACAGCAGGAAAAGGGGCTTACTTCTAAAGGGGAGAAGCTGAAGAAGCACTCAGACCAGCATCCCAACTAGCCTTGACCAGCGGTGGCGAACCTCTGGCACGCGTGCCACACCAGGAACGCAGCGCCCTCTGTCGGCATGTGAGCCAAGTCGCCCCAGCATCGCCCCAGCAGCCGAGCATCGGGTAACAATGCACACAGGGGCCATGCGCATGCTCAGAAAGGAGCGGCGGTGCCAGGCAATGACATCACGAGCCGCGACTCATTAGCCACGACTCGTCCGAGCTTTCGCACGGCCAGGCAGTGCACTGCCAAAGGATTTGCTTGAACTGGCTGAGAGTTGTTTTTTCTAAACTAAAGCCTCAGTATTCAGGTTTGATCGCAGTGTTGGCACTTTGCAATAAATACGTGGCTTTTGGGTTGGAGTCTGGGCACTCGGTTTCTAAAAGGTTCGCCATCACGGCCCTAGTCCAATGTGGTGCCAAGGCAAGCAACTCAGCTGGAGTTTAACCTTTGGTGTTGCCCAATTCTTGCACTGTTCCTAGAGTATCAGACTTGGAATGGGGAGACCGGGCTCCAAACCCCACTGAATCATGAGGCTCACTGGGTGATCTTGGGCCAGCCCTGTCACTCAGTCTAACCTACCTCACAAGGTTCTTGTGAAGATAACAATGGCAGGAGAATGGAAGTCTGCGTTGAGTGAATGCTTCAACATGGAATTAGGAGTCACCGATCTCTAAAGACGGCTATAAACCTCCTTTTAAACAGTATCTGGAGGCAATCTGTTAGTGGTAACCACAGCCTTCAAGATGTCAGAAAATAACCCCCACCCACACATGAGATTTTCTGGTGCCAACTTCCTATTCCATCTGACCTTAGATTAAGATGCCTTTGTTCTCCCACAAGACTTTTACATCTTTGAAACTTTTCATATTTTAAATGCAAGAGGCATTTCCTGGGCGGACTTCATTCCTGTATTTGTTAACGGATGTCAATTCTTCCTTTTGTTTTGGATTGCATCCTATTGGCTCATCTATACTTTTATCGTGCTGATCTGCACCTCACATTAGTTTACTTTGATCCTTGCCTGCTTTTAGATGTTTGGTTATGTTTTATCATGCCGTCGCTTCGTTTCAAATTGTATGATTCCTCTAAATAAAGCAAACCATCCAGTTATACAGCAAGCAGAAAATGATAATCCAGACTTGCTTAGTCTAGCATGCTCCAGATATGTTGGCTGGGGTCAATGGCCCCGCACATCTGGAGAATGCCAGCTGGGGGAATGCTGCCACAACCCCGCATTTCTGCCCAGACCTGCAGCAAGTTTCTGCAGTGATTTCTGCAGCCCTACCAGCCTTGCGTTCAGAAGAGCTCTCGCCAACTGCAGGGTTAAGGGAAGAGAAGGGAAGAAAGTGTTACCTCTTCTTGTGGCAGAGGAAAACCACCAGCAGGAGAGCTGAAAACAGAAGGACCAGCCCTCCAATCAGCAGCATCACCAGGAGTGGGGGACCTAGATCAAGAAAGAACAACGCCAACCGACTTCAGTCCTCCTCCAGCATCCGCACCACCCATGTCTCAAAGCCACCAGCTCTAAAGAGCAGAGGCTTGATGAAATATGGGGGTCTGTCGGGGGTCTATCACAACATAAGAGGAGTCCGGCCGGATCAGATCAAAGGTCCATCGTCCAACTTTCTGTTCATTCAGTGGCCAACCAGCTACCCATGGGAGCACGCAAACAGGACATGGACACAAAGGTATCCTCTGACCCATGTGGCCCAGCAACTGGTGTACCCAGGCATACTGCCCCTGAAGCTGGTGGTAGCCTAGAGCCATCAGGACTAGCAGCCCTCAATAGCCTTATGGAAGTGTCCAACCCCCCCTTTAAAGCTGTCCAAATTGGTGGCCGTCACTGCATCTTGTGGATGGGAGTTTCGCAGGTCAAGTATAAGCTGTAGGAAGATGTACTTCCTCTGACCATTGTCTGTGGCCATGTATAAAGTTACGGTGGGGGCAAGCCAAGAAACCAAGCACCAAGGAAGATAATCTAGCACCATGGTTTCCACTGACACATGAAGAAGTCCTTCAAAAGGCTGATCAAATCTACGTCCTTTTCTGCCTAATACACAGACGAAATACACACTTGCGTCTTTTATATACTGCATAGACTGTGTTTCTATTTTTGCATTTAAATATTGCACTCCTACCTAGGCTGTTTTGATTTTTTTCAACTCTATTTTGAAATAACATTACATTTCATAATAAACAAGAAGAAGACATGACTTTTCCTTCTGGTAGCACCCACTGATCCCTGTGCTGCGACTCACTATGGTACTTTGTGCGTGAGAACCAAGTTGAACAGCAGTACTGCCAGATGCGCAGTTTTCTGGCTATGTATCAAGACGATGAGCACGGACATCTCATTCAAGATCCCCTCCGTTCTTTTTATCTTGCATCCATTCAGCAGTAAACATGCTGTTTAAAGCAGCAGTGAGGAACCTTTGGGCACCCTGCAGCTCTTGTACTACAACTCCCATCATCCCTGAAGGAGGCTGGCAATAGTCCCATGACAGCTGGAGAACCACTTCCCCGCTACCTCAAACAGAGCCAACAACCGCGACTGAGGCAGAGGATACATCTGGAAAAGAGGGTGAAGGAGAGCGTCACTGGGTGGCCGCCTCCCTTGCGGAGCAGGAGGCGTGTGGAGCAGAAGCCGGTCGCAGGGTGGCTTGGGCCTTGGGCCTTCTACTCGAGGCAGCACCAGAGCCAATGGAGACAATCCGGGAACAAGCTGGGAGGAAGCTCTGAGCGAAGGCAAATGGGCAGCTGCAGGAAGTGTGAGCAGGCTGCCTTTCGTCTGGGTTCTCTAAGGCAGAGGAAATGGCTGAGGGAGAACCTACAGAAGGCTGGCCAAACAGGAAAGGTGGCATGTGGCCTGGCAGAGGAGCTGGGGCTGCCGTTCCAGCCAGGCCGGATGCGAGCGGTGGCTTGTATCAGTTCCCAGCATGGCAGTTTTGTCTCAGATCTGGCATCGGATGCTTCCTAACACAACGCTTCCGCGCAGGAGCATCGGAAGCAGGCCCTGCCCAGCGGAGGCGGTTGGCACCCATCCCCGTGGGCAGTAACGAAATTATCTGTGGTGCTGAACCTAGCGGGAAGGGGAGGGAAGGCCTCTGGTTCAGCACCACAGATAGCTCAGGGAAAGCTCAGGTTAAAACACGGGGTGGATACACTGCCTCGCTGATGTTTGTACCACGCAGGCATTGTGTTGTCTATAGCAGCCTTCCAACCCTGTGTTCTCCAGGTGAGTTGGACTTTACCTGTCATCCTCCCTAGATAGTCTGCTGAGGATGATGGGACTAGTTGCATGTAAGTAACTAGAAGATGCTCTGGCCAGCAGTTAAGTGTGGACTGTTCCCAGGGTCTAGCCCAGGCGTGAAGTGCAGCCACCGAGATTTTCCAAATCTGCAGCCAGGTGCCTTGGCTGGACCAGAACCTGCATGACAGCCCTCACTGCTGTGCGATGGTTACATGCTCCGTGTGTGCAGGCAGGCCTGTGCGTGTCCATATAGACAAGGCAGGTGCATGCAGGTGATGCAGCAAACACACTCAGAACCCCTCCAGTGACAGAGCCGAAGGCAACCTGCCACCTGCCTGCTGCAGGCGCGATGAATACAAAATCAAGTGCCAAGTCAGGCATTCACAGAATCACAGACTCACAGAACAGAAGAGTTGGAAGGGGCCATGAAGGCCATCCAGTCCAACCCCCTGGGGGTCGACTTGAAGGGGCAACGCTGGGAATCGCTTACCTGTTTTTTCTGAACTGATCACTATCCCTGGGATGGTGGTGAAGACAGCAGGGCTGCTGCTTGTCCAGATGGGGAGCTCCTTGGACCCCTGGTGGACTACAAGAGAGAGCTCTGAGGGGGAGCTTTGCCACACAATGCCATGCCTCAGGCACCGCCTGCTGATCCCACCCGTCACCCAGAGGGTAAAGACTAGGGGTGTAGCCAAAAGGCAAACCTCTTGGGGGGCTGTATTCTAGTAGTGGGTGCAGCTGCAGGCAAAAGGGCTGAAGCCGAGCCGAACAGCAACTTGTAACATAAAGCTCTCACTGCAAGCGATTGAGGGGCATTTCATGCTCTTAGACAGGGAGAGCAGGAGAGCAAAAGCTGGACAACCATTGGACGGTTGGTGTCTGGGGAAAAGGGATGAGACCAGGGGAAGGAGTAAGCTGGATGCCCAGAAAGACTGGACTGGGAGCCCAACTGGGCTGGATTTGGCCTGTGGGCTGATGTTTCATCCCACTGACCACTTCTAGCCCAGTGCTGTCCATGCTGATGAGCTGTGACCCTTACCCGGGTCTCAAATGGACAGAGTATTTCCCAGCATCTTCTACCTGATCTTTTTAAGTGCAGATGCCAAGGACTGAAACCTATGACTTTTGCATGAAACACAGCTGCTCTTCCACGGAGCGATGGGGCATCCCCACCTCTGTCCATGCTACATTTGGGAATGCCACCTCACCAGGGGGTGGTGTTCCCACTGCAGTGCATGAGCGAGCATCCATAAACCCAGGCAGCCCACCTGACGGCTGACTTCCGCCGTTGCTGTAGGGGCGTGGAATCTTCAGGCGAGGGGCTTGGCATCCCAACAGTGCCACCTTCAGAGCGGCCCTCTGGTTCCAGGTCTGGGGGCTGATGCGCAGGTAGCGGGCCAGGATGGGCGGGATGAAGGCATTGGAAACTTCTTGGAAGCTGTTGCTGTTCCCTTCAAAGAGCTGGGGAAGGGGAAGGGTTGCAGAGCGGGCATGAAGGGATGGACCAGGCAGGAGAGGCTCTCACATCCTTCTGTGGCTTCTTCTCATTGCTTACAGACCATGCAGGAGTCAGTCTGAACCTGGCCTCCTTGCTGAACTATGCTGAATTTAGCTTTAGCGATCATGTCCGAGTAACCCCACTGCGACCAGTATTTTGCAACACAAGCAACACAGAAGCAAGCAGGTCGTTACCTCAGCCCATCTTTGCAGCCAGCCTTTCCTAATCTGCCACAGGTCAGATGAACAGGACTGCAACTCCCATCATCCCCAATCAGCATGTCCAATGGGCCAGGCTGATTGGGAATGAAAGGCATCGTATTACAGCTCATCTGGAATTAGGCACTAGGTGGCTATTTAAAACAAAAAACAAAAAAACAAAAAACAAAAACAAAAAAAACACACACACATGCACACACGTTATACTTGTGTCAAACAGAGGGAATGTGTGTCCCTCCAGATGCTGTTGGACTGCAGTTCCCATCAGCCCTCATCACTCGTTATACTGACTGGGTCTGAAGGCTGTTCTGTGCAACAACATCAACTTGCTCTTAACTTGACTCTGCACAATTTCATCAAATGGTAGAGTTAGAAGGCACATCAGAAATCCTCTCATCCTGCAGGCAGCAACAGCCTCCCTGACACAGACACCCAGCCTCTGTTTAATACCTTTAGCATCTCCACAACTTCCATCCCTTAGTTCCTGTCCTGCCTGCAGGTGTTAGCAGAAAACAACGCATTTCTGTCTACTGTATGATATGTCCTCCTTATACAGGTGGCCTCCTATGCATGATTCTCCATTGCATGTTTGGCTTTGGTACTTCCTGGAGTTTTATTTATGTACACGCTGCCTTTGCGTCACTCTTAGATCACAGGATTCTGATTTTGGGGTCCGAGGCAGTGTCCAACCACACTGCAGTAGCAGAGCTGAGTTGCTAGCTCTCTCTCTCTGTCCCGGCATACCTGCTCTCTGCTTCCAACCCACCTCACCTTATCCTCATTGCCTCTCTTGGATTTGTAGGTTTTCCATTTCTTGCCATCCCTGCTGAAGAGGACCTGGTAGGATTTCACATAGTAATTGTGTTTCTGAGAAGATCCCTTGGTTATTATGCCTGAAACAGAGTTAAAATCAGAACAGAACATTTGGTCAAGCAATATATAGGCCTTAGGTGGCCTCCCGAATTTGACTCCTCCTTTGTTGACCACAAGGTCAAATAGTGCTCTTTCACTGGCCGTTCCAAAAAGAGATTTCAACAGACGGGGTCATGATTCCCGGTAGGGTTCGAAGTATAGCTCTGCAACATGGGTAGCTGCCAGGTAAGATTATCTTGCCCAGTATTGTCCACTCTGACTGGCAGCAATCCTCCAGCAATTCAGGCAAAGGTCACTCCCATCACCTGGTCCTTTCAACTGGAGGTGCTGCAGTTTGGGCCTTGGATCTTCTGCATGTAAGGCATTTATTTATTTAGAAAATTTCTATGCTGCCCCATTCGCTGAAGCCTCGGGGCGGCTCACAACATAAATAACTTCAATTAAAATAATATAAATTAACAGTATAAAATAAGTCGCATGTGCTCTGCCACAGAGCTATGGTCTTCCCTCACCCCCAGATAATGACAGTACCATCATAAGAACCTGGGAAGCTACTGTGCTCCACGCTAGACTATTTGCTCATCCAGAGCCAGAGTGACCGCTCCAGGGGTGGGCAGAAGGAACTTCTCCTGATGTTTGGTGTTTCAGCCTCAAGAAGCAGCCTGCCATCATGCCCATGGTCAGAGTGTGGGAGCTGAAGCCCCAAATCTGGAACCGCCATCTGGTGCTCCCTGGGCTACTCCACACAGCAGTGGCTCCGGCCCAGTGCACACCTCTCTCTCCCCTGCCATTTGCTCTCTGCGACTTTTTCATGGCTGGATCTTCTGGGGACGCAACCGAGCATATTCTGCATGCCAAGCAGGTCCTCTGCAACAGACCTTGTGGTCCCTTCTCCCATTTGCAAAGAAGGTGCTCCGAGTCCTAAAAGAAGAATCAGTGCTTCCTTGAGAGCTTTCGCTGGCAGGGATTTAACAAGCGTTCTTCATCAGCCTGCAAGAGTCCTGCTGGATCACACCAGTCCTCCATCTAGTGCCGCATCCTGTAGCCCCAGAGGCCTGCCAGATGCCACCAGGAAGCTCACAAGTAGCCCATGAAGCCAGCAGCCTGTCCTCTTCCTCTTCCTGTTTTCCAGGGGAAAACTGCCCCTGAACATGTTGCTTCTATCAACGATGTATCTTGATAGCCACAGACAGACTCCAGATAGAGATGTCTTCCAAAATCTGTTTTCAGGCCTCTCACCTGGAACGCTTAACCCTGCCACGACACCAACTTGATGCCACTGGCTGTTCTAGCAGGGGATGATGGGAGGTAGAGTGCAACACATTTGGATGGCACCAGGTTGGGGGGGAGGCTGTTCTACCCAGCACCAGTCGGCGAGGCAACCCCAAAATGCCCCTCTCCCCTCCATTCTTTTCCCGAGCGCTGCCTGGCCTCCCACCCGCCGCCTCACAATGCCGCCATTCCTTTGCCTGACAAGGGTCATTCTGGTTGCCACACAAAGGCCTCCATTCGTCCTCAGGCTGCAGGAAAGAAAGAGTGAATAATATGCGACTTGTTCAGCCCCTCAGCGGCCTGATCTGGCCCTGTGCCTGCAGCAACGGAGCAGGGGGAGGAAGGGGCAAGAGGAAGGGGGAAGGAAGGAAAGAGGGACGGATTCCAAGACAGGACGGATGCAAGCAGACGGCGTGGGGGCGTGCGGGGAGAAAGCAAGCATACGCAGCAGCCTTCCCCAACCTTTGTAGCGTCGGACTACCAATTCCAACATCCCCAGCTAGCTCTCAATATGGTAGGCGAACACGCTGTGAGAGGGGCTGAAGTGTGTTTCCGTGTGCATGAGAGAGAGAGAAATTAGGTGCCCTGCTTAAGTTCAGCTGCAGACAGAGAAGATGGTTGATGGGCAAACAGTCTAACTTGGTTCCTGACTTTAGAAGGCTCAGATTCTGGTCTCCTTCTGGATGCAGCTGGGCACAAGGCGGCATCCCTTTCTTCAAAAGAAGGACCGGACGCTGGATCACACGCTCTAGTCACCTCCCCACTGGACTGCTGAAGTGTGAGGCTACCTGACAACTGTGGCCAACCTCACGTGTGGCAGCCAGATTAATGACGTGTTATCCGTGGAGACTGCATAGCACCTGTTCTTCCATTGTTCCCCAACTGGCCAATTTGTTCCTAGGCTAAGTTCGCCCTTGCAGCCCTTAAGACAGGCTGAGGAGGTTCAAGGCCGTTCTTCGGGGCACAAGAAAAGCTGTCCAGGACCAGAGACCAAGCTCTGCCTTGTCTGCATCTTGCTTGCCTCGGTGGTCAACGCAGTACCGCCAGGCAGCCCATAGTCACAGCACGAAACCAAAAGCCCTTTCCCATTTTGGCCTCTCCCAGCAAACTGCCATGTCACTGCTTGCCACACTGGGACTTCATAGCTCCATTGCGCCACCAGGAGGTGAATCTGTCTGGTGCCGACATCAAGGGTAAGCATGACCGGGCACCTGGCTAGGGCTTGCACCCCAACACGGACCCAGAATCAAGACCCTTTGACTTGCTCTTTCTCTTCATCATCACCACCAGCTTTGGCTCAGACCATGGGGGTGCTGAGACTTGCTCACCGACTCTCAAACAAGCAGGTGGCAGAATGAGAGAGAGAATAAGGATCAGTTGCTGTCAGTGACATGCTGATAAGAAAGGAGAAAAGTCCCAGGGAGGGTGTCCCACCTGAGGACCCCTGAGAAACTGGCACTGATCTGCTCTCTCTGTTTAGGGTCATCTAAGCCCAGTGGCCATCCTTAAATCTTGTGGCGGTGAGTTCCACAGAAGTGTGTCATGTCGACCAGTAATTCTGGGGGTCTGTCCTACATCCAGAGTCAATCAAATTCATGGATTGTCCCCAAGGTGTAGTACTGTGGGTGCAGAAGCGTCTGTCCCTGCTTTTCTCATACTGATTTTATAAGCCTCTGTCAACCGCCCCCCCCCACACCTCGGTCCTTTTGGGCACAGAAGACGCATGCAGATACTTACTGACCTGTGATGTTCCTCCTGCCACCCAGGTCTATTTCCAGCCACTGATCTGCAGAGCTTTGACCTGCTGCCCAGGAAGTGCTGCCAGCGCGGAAAGAGGCTTGGTCAGCCGTCCAGGCTTCCTTCTCGCCCAAGATGTTCTGCTCGTGCCAGTGGGACGAAGCGCTGAAGCTGGCCACTTCCAGGGCACCAGCACAAGCTGCAAAACATACATATGTAAGTACATTTCTGCACTGCCCAATGGCCAATGTTCTCTGAGCAGATAGCAAAAGTTAACCTCCTAAAGTGCAACCTGCGAAGGCAGAAAACCTTCACATGTTTAAAACAGAAGAAAAGCAAATGTCATGCCAGCAGTGGTATAAAAATCTGAAAACAGAGCAACCATTTTTAAAAGGTAAAGTAAAAAAGGTTTCATTCATAAAACTGTTAAAACAGTAACATATTATAGGCTCTCTCAAAAGAAATGTGTAGCATCCTTAAAATGCTCTGTTGGAAAGTCCAAAACAGTGGGGACCAGTCATCCCAGCAGGAACGCATTCCACAATTAGGGAATTATCACAGTAAGTGACATCAACTTTGATATGGAGTCCCCCAAATTACAAAACGGACAAACAAATAACGAGCACGATGCGTGTCGTACCTCTGTGGAAGATGAGGCGTTTTTCAGATAAAGATCCCCTATTTAAAAGGAAACAAGCAAAAGATTAATAGGATAATGGTCCCTGGGACACATTCTTTTTCTTAGTGACAAAACGGGTGTGATACAGTGTACAGTCCTTTGCAGCCTGACATGGGAGTAAGCACAGCTGCACCTCTTGGGTTTTGCTTCTGAGTGGAGATGCATAGGACAGGGTGCGCTCGTTGGCCTTCGATTTGGCTCTGCATTATCACCATGGATGGGTGAGCCATTCCATTAACTTCTTCAGTGAAGGAAGTAGGATATATTTATTTGTTTATCACATTTCTCTGTATGTCAATCGCTGAACCGGTTTCAGCTGTTGCTTTCTCGGCCCATGTGGCAACTCACCTTTTGGAGTGGAGTCCATTGGCAAAGACCGACTCATAGAGCGTGATCCCTTTCTCTCGCGACACCGTTATCTCTCCCCCTTGCTCATCCGAGATCACGCCGGCATGAACAGCAGCTTTGCAGAGCACGGATGTCTGCAGAGAACAAGCGGAGGGGAAAGTCAGGACCAGTCTCTGGGCAACAGGAATCCAATTTAAAGAGGGCTAGAAACCTGATGGGAGTATGCTCTTATCTTGATTTCAGTTTGCTAGGCTCAATTTGTTCACGATTAGGAAGCAGCCCGAGGACTGATTGTACCCCATGTACTGCATAAAGCTGAAATCCCATGCACGTTCAGGCAGAAAACAAGCCTATAACACCCAGTATTTGTCAGCCAGCCAGCCAAGTTCTAGGGAAGGGTTTTTTTTTTTTTTTTTAAATCTAAACATGCATAGGATTGCACAGTACAGGATCCAGCTCCTTTGATCTCACAATGCAAATGGTAAATACTCCAAACAGGGCTATTTTTGGCTGTAGTGCCCAGCACTAGGAGCCGCTTCCTGAGAAAATTAAAAAGAAGAAGAACAAGAATAATATGAAAAGATTGAAGCAAACATTTATAAGTCCCTGGTTGAATTTATTCATTATTTTCATTTGGCAATCAGATATGCATACTGCTTTCCACAAAGTTTCAAAATGCTGAACACACAATATTGCATCTTCAAAACAATAAAATGTAGCAGTGGAATGACACTATGAGAATATTAAGCAAGGATAAAACGACACCTACTAATTCTGCATTCTACTAATTTGTTGTGAGTTTAGGTGGTATTTTACTTTGTTTTGTGTTTCTACAAGCTACCCTGTGTACTCTGGCAAAAAGGTGGGATATAAGGATATGTATTTATAAGGGGTGTGTGTGTGTGTTAGTGTGTATGCACGCACATGCACAACCTTGGGTGGGGCTGAAGGTGATCTAGGCATTCTTTGTGATACCTATTTCAGTTGAAGGCAATTATGGTCAGTTAAAAAGCCTTAGAATGGGTGTTTCTCCTTTTCAGAAAACTGCATGAAAGCTGGGAATCCACCAAATGATTAGTGGTTGGAAGAAGGGGGTTGAGGCCCGGGGAAGGGAGCGTGGCTTTTTGGGGAACCCCAGAGTGCTAAATCGGGACCTCTGTGCCCACTTTAAGGGATCTGTGTTTTTGGATCATTGTGTGGTGCCATGCCTTCACAAGGAAGCTTCCCACATATCCGCATCAAGCATCATAGCTTCGCAGAACTCTGGCAACAGCCTGTGGCCAGCGGGGAGCTTCAGTGGGCCTGGGAGAAGGACCCGTGGAAAAGCGCAGGTGCACCCCGTGAGACTCACATCTCTGTAGCCCTGGTCTGCGTTGCCCCAGAGGTCTCCTGTTACTCCCTTGCAGCCCGCGGGACAGTATGCTCTGCAACAGGATGGATGCGAGAGAACATGGCGTTAGGATGCGATTGGTCCCCATCTCTGACAAAGAAGCAGGTGTGCCTGCTATGCAGGAGCATTCTCTCGGTGTTTGCGGGCAACTGGGACTGAGGCCCACGGGAAAAACTCACCTGATTAGTTGCTTGTCATAATGGATCCCCTTCTGCAAACATGAGATCAAATCTAAAATGCAGAAAGGGAGAACCTGACTGGATAAAAGACTGCAGTTTAGAACTTGGATCTTAGGAATATAGGAAGCTGCCAGCTGAGTCAGACCCTTGGTCCATCTAGCCCAGTATTACTGGCACTGACCGGCAGCAGCTCTGGGGTTTCAGGCAGGGGGTTTTCTGGGCCATTCTGGAGATACGCTTGGGAACTTCTGCCTAGAAGGCAGGTACTTCCCCACTGAGCAATGGCTCTTCCCCGACTGACCATAAGTGAATCGTCGTCATCACACTGACTCCAGTGACACACGTCTCGGTCTGGAGTCAAACACACCATGGAATTATACAAGCCAATATTCCAAATCACTTCAGTTTTGTATGCTTGTGAGAAATGGGGGCCCAGCACAGAATTTCAGACAACAGACTCAGAGCCTGTTCTAGTAGCCTCCCATGAGCCAGAAAAGCCAAGGAGCAGTTTGCCATGACTTGGAAGAAGGAAGGGATTCCTCTGAGCACTGGGCCGCTTTTTGACAAGACAGAAAAGAGGCAGTGACTCCCCTCTGGGAGTTTTATAAAGTCAGCTTTACTGGGGACACCATCTGCTAGGGCAATGGCCACGCTGCCTGGGAATGATGGGAGTCATCGTCCAATTCATCTGGGGATACTGAGACGAGGGAGGCTGCCACGAGTGCAAGCCATCTGCTGTTCCCTGTGCTTGCTGTTGTTCCTGCAAGCATCTCCTCTCACAGCCGCTCCCAAGAAACCGCAAAGCTCAGAGGGGCAAAAGGGGTGCCTCGCAGATGTCTCGGATGCATGACTGGGTGCTGTGAAACCCTTCAAGGCAGGCTCCAGCTGCAGATGTCTCTCTTGGAACTCTGCCTTCCAGGGGCCGTGCACAAGGCCTCATTCTCATCCGCACAGCCTCTCATTCATACCCCTTTGAGTCTGGGTGGTTGCTGCCCCATCAGCAGTCTTTCGACTGGCAAAAGGGCATTCCTTAGGGGAAAAGGAGAAGGTGATCGGGATGTTTTCGTTTGCAAGGGAAAGTGAGTTCGGCTTTTCTGCAGGGGGCTTTGAACCCACCACTTGATGGAAGCTTCTGCTTCTAGATCCTTCACAGAAGTAATGTTGACTCCTCTGCCCATTTTGCCCTAGGGCTTTTCTTTCTCTGCCTTTCTGTACTTGCTCCGGACAATTGCTAGAAAGTGATGTGGCAGCACAGAAGTGCACACATGCACGGGGGTTTCATGTTGCCACTCAGAGATAATGCTGTGCCTTCCTTGCCAAGGAGAAGACTCCTGCTAAAACGGTTGCAAAAACTGCAGAGGATGCTAACAGCAGGGAAAACACTCACACGCTGCTGTGCGGAACCACATGAGCACGAAAAATGTTTCATGCTGAATGGCTTCAAGTGGGTGGGAGGAACGGGAGAGGACTTGACAGTTGTTTATACAATGATGTATGGGGTGGAGAAAGCAGATACAGCGTCTTCCTTTCTCACATCAGGACCCGATTTACAAAAGGCAGCTGCTTTCCCAGTTTAACTGTTCTTACTGGGGGCAATGTGAACTTTTCCCGTACCTGGCTGGTTGCCACTGGCATAAGAAAGGAGGAAGCCACGCCCTGAACGATGCGTCGTGCTGTTGAACAAGACGGTGACTGAGCTGGAGTTCATCACCAAGACTGAGTGTGGTGGATTTGAGTAGCCACAGTATGGGCCTGGGTGGGGAGGGAGGAAGGGAGGGAGAGAGAGAGAGAGAGAGAGAATGCAGATGTCCATTAAGGAAAGAACATATTGGTCAAATTAATTTCAGCAGCTGGGAGCCCAGCCTACCATCGTTGTGGTAGCTTCTACATTCCCTTCCACATCTTTAATCATCATCATCATCATCATCATCATCATCATCATCATCATCATCATCATCTTTAGGGCATCCCCACCTCATTCTGTTGCCTATGTCAATCCAGCTTAAGCCTCCAATCCTTTATGCACCCATTCTTGGGAATAAACTCACATACGATTCATTACAATTTACTTCTGAGTCACCTTGCTTAGGTTTTCGCTGAAAAACTAGATGGCATTTTCCCTGGAAGAGTGGGTAAACTTTAGAGGACAAAATACTCTTGAATTAATTTTCTGCCTGGAGCAATCTGGGCTTCAGCTGCCAACAGAAATACATTGGAAAGGCTTGCAAGCCATCTTCAAGTTCCCCTTTCCAACTCTGCTCCAAACGACTCAGAAAATAAAGCCCTCATGTTTTCTGCTGTTTAATCCAAATTAATGTGTGATTTGCTCCTCGTTAAGACCTCAGATTAATAAATGGCAAAATTTGCCTGGCACTTTGTGCGGAGGGTCTAATCTCTAAGTCCTTAAAAAAGAAGGCAAAGAAAAGGACAGATGAGCAAACCGCCATTTCCCCTTCCCCTAAGCTCCAGCTGTCACTTCAGCAGAGAGGCCCAGAATAGCAAGGCCTGTGTTGATCCCATGTTTTCTGTGGTCTGACTTCACTTTTCTACATCCTTTCCATCTGGGATGCATTGGTCCAGGATGGCACCGAAGGATGGCATCACAGGCCTTTGCTAGGGTTGAACCTCAGAAAGGGACGCTCTACCAGTCTCTGGAGCCTCACCTGGTCCTCCTCCTCACTCCTGCTACTAGCTCACCTGAACTCTCCAGGAGTGTTTTGATGATGACTTTTAAAAACTGTCTGCATCAAATACCCCACCTGGCTTCGTAGCATTTCTTTGATCCACAAATGCATGAGCTACATTAACTGGTTCAGATGGCTCTCTACCAGTACAGAAATGAAATTAATATTAATTATGATGATTATAATAAATAATAATATTAACCTAGTGCTCCCCAGGTGTTTTAAACCAACATTCTTCAGCCCCAGCCTACATGGGCAATAGTCAGGAATGCTGGGAGCTGGTTAAAACATCTGGAAGACCCCGGACTGGGAAGGCTTGGTGGCTGGATCCGTGACCTCCAGCAACACACAGCAGAGCCAAGGGAGTCGTTATAGTTGCTCTTGCAGCGAAGAAGCTTCTGCAACCTGCTCGTGCGGCTTATGCCCCGTGCTCGCGTGGGCAATTTGCATGAACCCGACGTAAACCACAGAAGGGTCCCTGAGGAGATGTTCTGTAACTCCTTGGCAGAAGAGATGGCATGGCTGCAGAGTTATGACAGTGCAAAAAAAGTACTTGAGACTTGAGCCCGTGTGTGTGTGATTTGCTGAAAACTGGCACCAGAAGCCTGAGCAGGTCAGCCTCGCCCAACCTGGGCCCTCCGTCTGCCATCCACAGCCAGCACAGCCCCTCACCGACAACGTCACAAGCAAAACAAAATACCCAGCGACTCTGTTCATCCTCTCCATTTTGTGCTCCTGAGCAAGTCAGCCTGTGGTGCATGATGAACACTGGGATGCCTGATGGGTGGCTTTGATGCCCCTCCCAAAAGTACCATGATTGGTGGTGACGATTAATCTCTGCTAATGTCCTGTCCTGATTGGGACCCACAGCTGCCAGGCATGAAACCATATTCCCCTCTAGGACCTGGTTATCCGCTGGAACATCTACTCCCATACACACCTGCCCAGACCTTAAGGTCATCAGCCGAGGTCCTTCTCCAGGAGCCTTCTGTGAAAGATGTTAGGAAGGTGAGTACTTGCAGAAGGGCCTTTTCAGTGGTGGCTCCCTGGCTGTGGAACCAGCTCGCTAGAGAGGTGCACCTGGTGCCGTCACTTTACACCTTTTGGTGCCAGGCTAAATTTTAATTGCTGAAATTTTATATCCTATTTTAGCTTATTATTGTATAGGACAATAAATGGCTGGCTTATGAACGTATGTTTTACGCACTTATTATTTTTGCTATTGGATAATATAGTTGGTTTTATAGTCTGTTTTACTGTTACTGAGTGGGATTTTCTTTTATGGGTTTTAGTTTGGGACTGCTTTAAACAAACAAACAAACAAACCTCTCCCCGGACCACAGCCCAGCAATGAACTTCAAGAACTTGCTTGTGGAAGGTAAAAACGCTGAAACCAGCCCCTTTCCAAAATAGGTTGGAAGAGGCAGGTCTTGCCGTGGGCGAGAGCCTCCTTGTGTCGGACAGAGGTGGTCTGAACACTTCCAAAAATACCGCTTTGGCCTGTACGTGCCAGCCAGGTATGCCCCAGAGCAGGTGAGGGCCACCCACGTTCCTCAAAGGGAGAGGCGGGCATCATGCCGCTGCTTGTGAACAGAAACATCAGAGGGAGGAAGGGAGTCCACCGGTGGAACAGAAGGGGGCATTCTAGGACAAGCCACTGCTTCAATACGCTCGGAGGCATCTTGGCCTTTCCAGCTCCCAGTGAATCACCGGAGAGATCGTTAATGCCGGCATGGGTGAGCTTCCTTCCAGTAAAGCCCTGAATCCAGCAAGGGGGTGTCATGTGGGAGGGGTGGAGAAAATGCGCGTCCATGTGCAGGCCGGCGTGCGCTTGGAAGCGCTCCTTGCTCGCCCTTCCACTCTTTGTTTGGTCCTGCTTTACAGCTGGTGGACGGCTGATGACACATCTGGCTTGCACACTGGATGTGTCACTGGCACTTCAGTGTACGCCATTCCAAGCCAGGCTGTGGGAGGCCGGGTGGAAGTCTGCTGTGCCAAAGAGAAAACTCTGCAGCCAGCCAAAGCGTAAGCAACGCCCCCCGGACAAGCTCGCAGCACCATCCCGCTGCACTGCGTGTGTCAAGCAGCAAAGAGCCTTATTAGGAGATCTTAAGCTGGGGCTGCACTGCCTAGCTCAGACTTCCCCGGGCCAGTGCCCTGCCGGTGGTGTGGACTGCAACTTCCATTAGACCGATGGACATGGTAGTCCAAAACATCTGGAGAGCACCAGGCTGGGGCAGTCCCATTTAATTCTTCCTCTGCCAGACAAGCTCATCACGGCTGTATGCAGGCCTCATTCTCCACTATTTGGTGAAACGTGCTGCTCAGATATTCCGGGGTTAGCCCCTAGCTGAGTCCCAACACATGGCAGGGAGGCTGGAACAGGGATAGCGCCAGACTCAGGACTGCGCAGTAGGATGTCCAGGTGTCCTCTTTTACAGAGGGCAGTCCTCTATTTGTTGGGCTGCCAGAGGACCACCATTTGTATGGAGGTGTCCTCTATCTGAAGGGCTGTACCCAGCTAGCTATAGTTTATTTTATTTTATTTTTTTCGATTTTCGATTTATATCCTGCCTTTTTCCTACAAAGGGCTCAAGGCAGCTTACATCATTCTCCTCCTCCATCTTATCCCCACAACAACAACCCTGTGAGGTTGGTGCTTATGCACCTCAGCACTAAGGCGCACCAGTCCACTAGTTAATGTGCATTAGTTAAGATGCATGATTTCTATTCCCTCCACCAGTGGAAATCTACTCTGCGAATCTACAGTGTCCTTGTGACCCAGCGGTGGAACCCATGAGCCAAATTCATTGAAGTCGGGGCCCTTTGGACCCACAGCGGACTCCTTTGCCACGTCGAGCCACAGCCTTCTGCATCACGGTTCCCGGGGCCTTCTAAACATGCTCAGTCCTTCCTATGCTGGTCCTTTGGGTGGGGTGCCCTCCTCTGTTTTTTGTTCTGTTTTTCAGAACATGTTGCTTCCCCCTTGCATCTCTGTGGCTGAGTTTTGGCTCCCTTTCTGTTGCCATGGGAGTGCTGAGCTGGATGTTCGAAGGAGCAGTGACCAAATGCATCTGTTTATCCGTGGCGTTCTGCCAAAAACCCATCGCCAGGGAGAGCAAATGAAAGGGGAGATCTGTTGCCTTCACACCCTCTTTATGGGAATCCTGGAAGCACGTGGGCGGCTGCTGTGGAAAAAAGGATGCTTAACTAGATGGGACCATTGGCTGACCCGGTGGGGCTCTTCCTATGTTCTTACAAGGCCGGACAATTAAATTCTCCAATCGAGAAGACCAGAACACTTCAGGGATTCTTTTGTTAATCACAACTTTCCTTCAGCAAGCTCCTCCACCCCCTCCTTTTATCTTCACAACAACCTTGGGAGGGAGCTTAGGCTACAATGCCATGCCAAAATCTTGAATTCTGCACTGACAACGCCAGTTCCTTGCACTCTGCTTTTAATGCTTACCTGCAGACCCACAAGCTACTTCCAGCAAACAGAGGGCACAGCCCGACAAAGACCGACATGAGGTCCAACACAAACTTCCTGTGCTGGAATGTATAACACAGACACAGCCCTCTGGCTAAGCATCTGCATACTACAGCTGAGTCAGACTGAGCGATTCCCACATCCTCATTTTATTCAAACATTGCATGGCGAAGGGCTCCATTCTCCTACCACCCACTCAGCCTGCTAGAGCAAGAGGACAAGCGTGAATTATAAAAGGGTTGCCGCAGGATCTTTTCTGTGTGCCAAAGAGGGCCACTCCTGAGCACGGCAACACACCCTCCTTGAACAAAGATGGTGTCTCCGTCCTCATCAGCCATCGGACATGGCCCTGCAAACTGTTTATGCCACAAAAGTCAATGCATGGGCACAGGGAGGGGGTCTGATCCTCAGGATTAAGTACAACTAGCATGACATACAGGCAGTGGGGCTGACAGTGAGACTGCCTTCCCACCTTTCTTAAATTGTACTTCATTTAAGTAGTTGATTCATAAGCTGATGGTCACTGGTGTGCCTTCAGCTGGACCCAAGATCAGGATGAAAGTCAAAGCAAGTTCCAAAGAGACACAGCTTTGTATGATGCTGCTGCTTTGTGCTGAAGAAGCAAGCCACTTTCTATTAGGCAAGAAGCCTTCTGAGCATCCATTCATACCGCTGTGAGCTGCAAGAGGCAAGCCATTTTTCTGTTGGGCATGGAACCTTTTGCACATCCTTCCATGCTTTTGGCAAATTCCAAAGGACCAGGGGTTCTTAGACCCTTCTGAAGAGGCGGGTCACGTTTCTGTTGGGCAAGCAGCATCTCAAGCCTCTCCCACGCTTATAGCCACGAAGGAATGCAATACGGGGGTCACAAAGAACAAACCAGAGCAGTGTAATGAAATTTGAGAACCATGGCGTTGAATGGGATGTCAAGCATATATCAGCATAAAGTTGTATGTTGAACAGTAGGTAGGACGGAAGGACGGAAGGACGGAAGGAGGGAGGGAGGGAGGGAGGGAGGCAGGCAGGCAGGCAGGCAGGCAGGCAGGCAGGCAGGCAGGCAGGCAGGCAGGCAGGCAGGCAGGCAGGCAAGCAAGCAAGCAAAAGACAGACAAGATAGACCAACAGACAGACTCTGGCAAGGGACAATAATGGTGAGCCAAACCTGAAACTGACCAGATAAGGCTGCAGATGCGGCTAAGGTGAAATGTTTCCCAAGTGCTTCTCTGTGTAGGCCTCCCCGATCTCGTTGCCTCTGCACTGTGCCATGAAGTCCTTTCTCCGCGCTGCTTGCCTCAGCCCTGGGGCACTTGCCAGCATCTGCATCATTTCCCGCAGCAAGAGGAACAAAATGGCCAGTGAGGCTGGAAGCTTTTCTGGCTCCTCTTTCCTGCTGGCCGTGTGGCCTGCTGTCCAACTGCATGTTTGCTCAGGACTTCCGTTTGAGGGAACTTCCTGATGGTCAGCAAAGCCCCTTTGCTCAAGGCTGAATTGAACAGGAAGACCTCTGCTTTGGAGGGCGGATATATTGTTGGCACCCCAGCCAGGAGCAGGAGCAGGCTGAGGGGTGCAAGTGGGGAGGAAGGAAGGAAACATTCCCGCAAATGTTCATGTTCTTGTAACTGGAAATGAGCTTTCCTTCTCAGCACAAAGCCAGCCATGAGCAGGAGCTTCCCCGATTTGGTACGCACCAGAAATGCTGGACCGCAACTCCTCCACCCAGCATGGCCAATGGCCGATTGTCTGGGGTTGATGGGCCCAAAACATCCTTCTCCCACAGTGTGTGCAACACAAGCAAAGGGGGAAAGTCACGTGTGTGGAAGACGGGCATCATTTGCGCAGCCTCTTGGTGCATCCCCTCCAGGTGGGCGCCCACCTGAATGCTTGATGCACTCGCCCAACAGGTGGACTCACGGGCATGAGGAGGCATGGCGGAGTCCAGGGAACTTAGCCCAGGACTCTGACCCCAAAACCAATTCCTCGCACATGCAAGCCTTTTTATCCCTCTGAGCACACATAAGATTGTGCCTTGAAACACACAGAGTTAATAGGTGACTCCTGGAAGTGGACGTTCTTAGCACCCTTTCCAGACTCCCAGCTTTCCACCCCCAAACAATCTCCCCCCACAACAACCCCCTGCAGTAGAGCATTTGAAGCAACTGGAAGATTTCTTCTTGTATAGATTAATGATTCCTTTGCTGTTAAACTCTCAGAGTGCTGAAAGATAGGAAGATGGACAGATTCGGGGGACTGAATGTATAGGTTCTATTTGTTTAAAATTCCCTTGGCAACTTTGTTCACTTCATTCATTTGAGACTGCTGTTTGTTTTAGTTTGCTTTGTTTCACATTCTTTTTTTGCATTTGTTTATGTTAAGAAATAAAGATTTTGTTAAAAAGTGTAGCCAGGGCAGCAAACAAACCAAATGCAATATGGTGCTGAGATCACAAGTATCTAATGTCCGGCATGAGTAACATCAGGCACCGTTGGAGCTGTACTGACAATATTCCCAAAGGGAAGGGGCTTTAAGAACTTGATAGATGGCAACAGTCAGAACTGGGCAAAGGGACAACGCTCACATTTGCTCAGATGGTCCGAGTATCAGCTTGAAGCGTGTCTCTCCCCCAGTTCCTGGGGGAGTTTATGATCCCTGTTCACTTTGCACTCAGAGGAAAATTGCCCCATGGCAAATCCTCATTAGATAACTTTTGGGGTTTGTTAAGTTTCTTTCCCCTAAATATGTTTTACACCACAGCAGCCTTCTCCAACTCGGTGGCCTTCAGAGGCATTTGGACTACAACTACCAGAATCCCCACCCAGCAGGGCCATTGACTGGGGATTCTGGGTGTTGCAGTCCAAATGTGCCTGGAAAGCACAAGGTTGGGGAAAGCTGCACTACAGAAATCCTGGGAGTTTCCCATGGCTGCTGATACGATACCTTCCTCTTCTGCATGGTGGGCGGTGTTTTAGCTGCAAAAGAACTGGCGTTCAGAGCCTGCACTTGAGAAGGGGGTGGGGGGGGCATCACCACCACCAGGATCATCGCGTGTCTCCCATCTCGCCTTCAGCTTTCTCATGATGCCTGAGGGAGTTCGAGCTGGAGCTCCCCCAAATTGAAACGGGTGGGAGCGTTTGAATTTCCAGAGGGATAAGCTTGGATTCAGTGATGAAAAAAACACATTGAACTAGAGTTGTTGTGTTTGGAAGCAGCTCTAGATGAATTCCATGAATTGCAGCCCAAGTTCAAGTCAAAATGAACTGGTGCTTTTTTGCCAAAAAAATTAAAATTAGAAAGTTGCATCTGAAGAGTTGCCTCTCAGGTGGGTGTGAGGAGCTTTAAAGGAAACCATGCGGGGTATTCTAGGGAATTCCCTCCTGGGAACGCAAAATCCATCTGCTTTCAAAACAGTAATAACTGCAAAGCTTCCCCCCACATGTATTTGTGCTTGTCCATAGCCGATGGAGCTGCAATCTAATGTGTTAGATAAGAACAGAGTAAAAAAATCTTACTTTTGCCTGGGAAGTGGGCCATTCAGAGGGAACTTATGCAAGGAGAAGAGGCATGTGTGCCAATTCACTGAAATCCCCTCTTCCCACATGGAGCAGTAGGCGAAAACATTTTCAGGATGTCCTGGGAGAGACTGGATAGCGGGACAGGACACACAAGCCAGCTGCCTATAGAGCTGAAAGAGGAAGGATGGAAAGAAGCAGGGACACAAGCAAGGAAGAAAGAACTGACCTTTGGAAATGTCTGACAGGAAGAGTCTTCCAGAAAATCATGAATCAGACAGTGATGAGAAGTGATATGAAGCAAGGGGTGATTAGTCCCCCCCCCACCCCCATCCATGCCAAGAGGAAGCAGAACTAAATATAGGATACAGGCAGGAAAAGAACTCCAAGCCAAGGAACCAGTGAAGAGTCCAGGATCCGAGGATGCCAAAGAGAAGGCCCCTTTGTGTGGGTTGCTGGGAGAGCCTTCATCTTTTTTCCATCTGAATAGCTACAGAAAATGGAGGTGGTTAAAAGCCATTTGTTCTCTGCAAACCTCTCCTTCCATTTCCAAAATAACCCAGAAAGGGGATAGGCTCCTATGCTCTACTTCGGAATATGGATAGGAATTCCTTTTTTTGATAAGGACTTAGCCAAATTATTTATTATTTCCAGATTTATGTATTGTTCCAACTCCCAGTATGAAAGTACAGGGTTAAAACAATATGTTTAAAATAATTGTCACTCCATGGCTGTGTAAATCAGGAAGGCTTCCTGAAGTTGAAGTGTTTTCAGGAGGCACTGAAAACAATGACATGGTGGCATTTGCCCGACCTCGGGAGGCAAAGAGTCCCAAAGAAATGGGGCCACCACCCTGGAGGCTCTTCTCTGGGGAGACCACCTGGGACCCTAGAGAGGCTTGCAGCCCAGTTGTCAAGGCGCTGTGGAACAGTCACTCCATGTTTGTCTCTGCAAGCAATCCCACAAGGCACTATAGGACCCCTGGAACAAAGGGCCTCCCATGCGCAGCCCACGGCGATGATCCAGGGGGAAGCCTTGGAAGATGGAATCGAAAGCTGATGAGCGACCTGGCAGATTTAACAGAGTCGCACGCCCTGTCCCTCCCTCTGCTGAGGTCATGCATTGGGTGGCCAGAGCTGACTCAGTCCTCTGACTAGGTCAGACCTCAGACAGGAACGGGGCCAGATGATCAATATCTTCTATGTGGCTGCAGCTGCTCTCGCTCTTGCTTTCAGCCATGTTTGTGGTGCTGAATCAAGGCAGCTCTGCATATAAGTTGCTGCTTTTTCCTGTCAGCCTCCCCATCATTTAACAGCTAGATTGCAGATAGAAACAACACAGTCCTGTTTTGGAGTTGTTGGAGTTGTTAGTCGCGAAGTCGTGTCCGACCCATCGCGACCTCATGGACAACATTCCTCCAGGCCTTTCTGTCCTCCACCATCCCCTGGAGTCCACTTAAGCTCACACCAACTGCTTCAGTGACTCCATCCAGCCACCTCATCCTCTGCTTTCCCCTCCTTCTTTTGCCATCTATTGTTCCCAGCATTAGGCTCTTCTCCAGGGATTCCTTCCTTCTCATTAGGTGGCCAAAGTATTTGAGTTTCATCTTCAGGATCTGGCCTTCTAAAGAGCAGTCAGGGTTGATCTCCTCTGGGGCTGACTGGTTTGATCTCCTTGCGGTCCAAAGGACTTGCAGGAGTCTCTGCCAGCAGCACAATTCAAAGGCCTCAATCCTTTGGCGCTCAGCCTTCCTTATGGTCCAGCTTTCACAGCCATACATTGCAAGTTTTGGAGTACTGCTTTCATTATCCCCAGCCTGCAGAAAGATTCATTAATCCATTTCCCCTGTGCTTGCCTTTGGATTATGTGGCCCCTGCCTGGATCGGCGCACATGGATACGTGACTTCAGAACTTTCCAACCTGGACTTCCTTGACCTGGCACCCTCCGAATCTCTTGGACTACAACCTCCATCTTCCCCATTCACCAGGGCCAATTGTCACAGAACTGGAGATGGGGGTTGTAGTCATCAGACATTCGAAGTCTGCCCAGCTTGTGACCAGCTATAATACAAGCAGGAACATACGAACTGTCCACCTTGCTCCCATTCTCATTTCGCTTTGACACTGAAAGCCTGCTTATCTGAAATAGCGCATACCTGGAGTTCAGATGCAGAAAAGCAGAGGTTTTTCATCATCTTGTTTCACTGTACATAAAAGTATTTATTTATTTGGAAAAACCAGGAATGACAAACTCTGACCTGCTCTATCGGCCTGAAAACAAAAGGCCACTGGGAAGCAGCAAGCTCTGCCTCCCAGGATTAATCTCATGGCAAGAAGGAGACCAGCGTGGCCCCATGCATCAGCCAGAGAAGGAACACCTGTAAGAACTTTGAAACTGGTGCTGGAGTTTTCCTCCTCCCTCCTAATGCTTTTTCTTTTTGTGCCATGACTTTTAGATGGTACATCTCCGGGCAGCGATGCTCTAGAGATCATTAATCTTTGTAAGTTGTGCTGGGAGCCCTTTTTGGCTGAGGAACAGGTTAAAAATAGTATAAATAAATAAATGGTGGGAACACAAGTCATTTTCGTGACCTGACTTCCCTGCGACATGTATCAGAGCTCCACATGCTCTGAACTTTCTGTCCATCCACTTTGGCAATCCTCAGGACTGCTAAGAAATCAATGAAGGCCTTACCAAAGCTGGAACCATCTGGTGGAGAAGAAAGCAGCAAGAAGCCCAGTTTGCAGCCTTCTGAGGCTTCGATGTCCATGTCTCCAAAGGCCAAGCTAAGATGGCTTCCTGCAGCCCCTTGAATTTTCCACTCACAGGACGTGAAGTTTGGGTAAGTGCCAGGGTAGTTCTTGGAGGTCAAGCTCCCACTGGAAGGTGTCAGCACTGAGTGACCACAACCGTCTCCTAGAGGACAAGCAAATGAGATGAGGAAGAACCCTGGTTAGTACTAAGTGGTATGAAAGAAGCTGCAGGTGTGATTATTTGTCCATCAAGCCCAGTACAGCCTACTCTGGCTGGCAGCAACTTTCTTGGGTCATCTGCTACCACATTCTTTTCAGCAGAGACAGCAGGGACCGAGCAGAGCCATCTGCAAGGCAAAACAGGTATGTAGCTACAGGGCTACCGGCCTTTCCCATATAAAAAGGAGAAAGGAAGCCAGTTGATGCTAGATAAAGGCAAAGTTAAAAACCTGATTTTTCTAAGAAGTAGCACTTTTCTCACATATAAATCAGGGACATCTGCAGCCTGCAGTAACATCAAAAATTCACTCAGATGATAGAAGAATAAAGGAGCAATCCTATGCAAGTTTAGGTAGCCTTATTCTGTCTACACTCACACAGGACTCCATCCCAAGGGGCTGGTCCTAAGGTGCATACACATTGTCTGAAGGGCCACAGGAGTTTTGGATTCTCAAGTCTGAGGCTGGAGGCTATGCTCCAATCTGTGGCCTGGGGATCAGAGCTCTGATATGCTTCCTCTAATCCCTCACAGCTGGCACAGACAGGCCTGCACTGGCTGTTCTGCAAAGCAGAAAAAACAACCTTGGAGAAGCGCAGAAGTGTGTGTCGCAGGCAATGGGTGGGGGAAGACCTGGGGCTCTGCAGTGTATCCTGAGGCCTCTCCAACCACCTTCCCTCCCCTTCCAAAATGATGGCCAAACTGCTCCTTCTGCTCTGCACTGGACAAGTCCGAGCCTTCGATTTTGAGGCTTATGTGCAACTCCATAGGATTGTGCCATAAACACATAAACACCATGTGTGTGCCTGATTGGCTGCCCCAGAGCACAATGGAGGCATCTGAAAAAGAAGAACGAATCCTGCAGCAACCTGGGGCAGCCTGTGCTGGATCAGGTCCCGAGACTGAGCCTGTTTGCCATGGCGCTCATCACCAGCTGTCCTCTGGTCATTGGGGGGGGGGGTCTCTTGGGGCCTCCATGTTGTCCACAACTAGGATAAATACCCCCCCCCATACACACATACAGTCCTGTAGTCTGAAGTGGTACAGTCCACGCTGCCAGCTCATTTTGCTGCATGGCTATACCAGGCCTCCTCAAGTCAACTTGGCCAGGGGTCTGGGAAAGATTGTTCTGCAGAAATTGTGTTGAATTCAAGGGACACCAAACAAGGTGTACTTAGGTGTGCAGCTATGGAAGCCATCTTGTCATTCTCCCAAACAAAGTGGTTGACAAAAAGCAGATAATCGGCTCTGAGTGCAGGATCCCCCTACTCTTTCCATCGGCAGCCCTTGGTGCTTGGCCAGCCACTTACACATCACCGAAACAGAAGGCAAATGAGGGCGCATAACATTTGGACATGTTCATTCCAAAGCTATGGATGCGGAGCTGGAAATAAGAACTATACGTTCAATAGGAATATCATCCGTTTCACTATAGCCATCAGGGAAGATGTGGGATCAGATGTGACTTCATAGAATCATAGTATAGTAGAGCTGGAAGGGGCCATCGAGTTCAACCCCTGCTGTTGCAGGACACTGAGTCACACCATCCCACTCAGAGGGCTGCCCAGTTTCTTTTTGAGTGTCTCCTATGTGGGAGAGCCCCCCACCTCTCTAGGCATCTGGTCCCACTGCCGTATTGCTCTGACAGTGAGGAAGCTTTTCCTGATGTCCAGCCTGAATCTGGGTTGTCGCAACTGGAACTGATTATTCCGTGTCCTGCACTCTGCCATCAGCAAGAAGAGATCTTGACTTCCTCTTGGTGACAGCCTTTGAGGTACTTATGGAGGGGTGTCATGTCCCCCCTCAGTCTTCTCTTCTCAAGGCTGAACATGCCCTGTTCTCTCAGTCTCTCCTCACAGGGCAGAGTTTCCAAACCCTGGATCATTTTTTTGCCCTCCGCTGGACTTGTGTACCTGCTCACTGAGCCTGCTGTCCAGGTGTTGATGCACAATTCCAAGGCTTCTGTCTCTGTCCTTTTTTACACTTCTTTATCTTTCAAATTGGACATCAGCCCTTCAACTAGAGGGCTGCCTCTATCACACCCTCTGTCATGTAAGAAACACGGCCAGCCTAGTCAGAGCTTGTGAATATGGAACAACGTGTGGTGATTATTCTGAGTTAATTAATATAACCTTGTGGATAAGGCATCATCGGGTTCTGTGACTAACACACAGGTGTGATGCGCTGGAATATGCACTGGCCTTTAGGCATAAAAACATCTTTTTATGCTGGCTTAGATTTCGGTTCACAAGATAATCTATTCTTTTTAATGAGGAGCAGTAACGTTAACATGGCTGGGGATATAAAAGATTGGATTACATACGACGTCTTTAACTGAATAGAGCCTCTGGCTTGCTCTCTGCTCCCTAGGCTATCTGATCGTTCATCTATTTCATTTGCAGCAAAAGGCGGCAGTGGTGGTGCGGATCAGTGTAGCTTTCTTTGGTTGCAGAGCAGGGTATTTATGGGAATTGGTTTTAGACTAGGATCTGCTATCCTGATTGAAGATGCACATGAATGCGATTATATCCCAGGGTTAGAGTTTAATCAAGTGTCAGGAAAGGGAAAGCATAAGCTGCTTGGCTAAAGTGGAATCCAGAGATTTCCAGTAATCTACAAGTTGCAGGCTTCCCTGGTTTATCTGCTTCCTTTTTAATGCAGCACAAGGGCTATCTGACTAGTTCTCCCTGAGAGCGAGCAGGATAAAAACAACAAGGATGTTGACATATTGGACTAGAACTGGACTGGGGGAATTGATGTAAATTCCTGCTCAGCCCCAAAGTTTATTAGGTAACCCTGGCTAGCCACACTCTCTCAGCCAGACCCACCTCATTGGGTTTGTTGTGAGGATAAAATTAGGAGACTATAAAGGTGAACTTCACTACA